TAATTTCAGACTAGAACTACACATATTTCTCCTTTTTAGAAATATGCGATAATCCCTCATTTACAAATGTCCAGAAAGGTTGTGTGATTTTAATATTTTTCTGACTTTTCTCGAGAAAATACTAAAATTACATGGCCTCCCGGGGCTTTCACACAATTTTTTCCCCTTTGTTTTAGCATTTTTACTTTGGAAGCTGTTTGGTTGTTTTTACCCTATTTTCTTTACTAATACTTTCCTTAAATTTGTGTATTGCACTTTACATTGTGTAGAATTCCTTTCAGAAAACGCTTGTGCAAAAAGCCAAACTGTGTATGCACTGTTGGCGAACAGTGTAAAGCTGTAACAAGGGACACTGCAATGCCCAAATATTTTTTTAAATCACTGTTTAGTAGTTATTCCACCAATGAAAGCATGTATGCATTTAATTATGATTTTTTTTTTTCATTGGGGTATACGTAATAACAGCTTGCAAAAATTTATTGCCTGCAGCCTTTCCAATCCCTCCCCTTCTAGATACGCCCAGAATGTCTGTGGCTGTCCAATCAGAGTTCCCAGTTCAGCTCAATGAGGAATCTTTGCAAGGCAGATGCAGGGCGGGTGTAACAAGATTCACTTATAAAAGTGCCAATTTCTGTTGAAATCTTTACGTTTTATAAAAGAACAAAAAAAGGCAGACTTTGTGTTTTAGTGACTGGAGTGTCTCTTTAAAGTATGCATGCAGCATCCAAATGATTACATTGTAAGTTCTCTAGCCAGATAATACACATATGCAGGGTATATACACTATACCTGGCGTGACAAAAAATTAACTCTTCCCCCCCCGTTGTAGAATTACAACCCCAGTGCTGCTTTGCAAGTCTGGCCATCCCTGTGTTTTATCAAACTACAGCTGCCTGATGGTCTTGGTACCATTCATCTCTGGATGCTACAGACATCTCTGAAGAAGCTCTACTTTCCTGGATTTTGAATGTAAAATAATGGACATTATCTCGGATTTTACTCAGGATATGAATATGTATCTGTGAATATATTTAGCCCTCTTATTGCCGTAGGGTTTTGGCTGCATTGATTACTATACATCTAATCCTTTGAGATTTTACTAGGATGCTTTCAATGATCCAGCTTATTTTTTGTAATTGTTTTTTTTTTTTTCTAATTGAAGATGTCACATTTCATAGGGCATGCTTGGCGACAACATATTTTATTAAATTCCCAATTAAATTCTAGGTCTCAAAGCTCTGTAACTAAAATGCAACTTGCTTCCAGTTATGCTTCTCAGTTGTACATTTCTCAAATAAAAAATGTTTGTATTAAAAAGTGTGCCAATCTATATGGGGGGAATGGTAAAAGGAGATAATCATGAAAAGGGTGTTGCATACTCCATTTTGAAATCTAGAAAAGGGGCATTGGCAGAATACTTTTAGGAGAGGATATCTTCTGCAGAGGTAGAAATAAAATAGTATGTGTTCTCTCTATCAGGGTGCATTGGTGCTTTTTGAAGGGCTCTGCCCAGTGTATCACTTAATTTGGAAAAGACAACAACCAGAACACATAGCAATTCCACAGAGTTCCAAATTAGCAAGCTATCTACTAAACTGCTCCCTAATCACATACCATGCAATATGGCAGTCCCACATAAGGATAACAAATTAGGGAATTATCTACTAAATAGGAGAACGATCAGATTTAAGAAAAGTCAATTTATGAATTTTGATCTTTCAGCTGTGTTTAGTAGATACCAAGTGCTTTGTGCAAATCAAGGAGCTTAATGTAACCAGTAAAGAAATCTAATATATGGCAGCTACAACGCACGTGCTAGTATCCTCACTCTTCAAACACTTACATGCAGAAAAAATGGGGTGAACCGAGTGATCCAAACCCCCTCACGTAAACCTAGTGGAGCGCTAAATATAATTGAATTACCCTTAAACATTAGGGGAATACAGAGGAGGCTGTGGTATAGCCATACTTTACCAACACTAGTGTGGTTTGAGCCTATCCTTGTCAGGCTCTGCTCCATGTGAGTGTATCCATTACCTATCACAATTCAGCCTGTTCTTGGACTTTACGCTATTGTACATATCTTTCTTTCCTTTAGTATACTCTGTTAAGATCTGTATTGTTCCCCCAATTGTTTAAGGGCAAGTCAATTATATTAAACTCCCCACTAGGTTTACATGTGTGGGTTTGTATCACTCAGTTCAGCCCCTTTTTTCTGTGTTTAGTAGATAGCTCCCTAGTTTGTCACCCTTTTGTGGGAATGCCAATTTTAAGGGTTCCAAATTATGAAGCTTATCTGTTCAAAAGCGCCCTGATTTGATATCCATTCAAAAGCATTTTTTCAGAATTTCAGATGAACCGAAACTTCAAAATTAATTGGCGACATTTTTCACTCCAGCATATCTCTATATAATAGAGAGATATCGAAAGATTTGCTGAGCACTTCCACTGCACTATGAAGGCTTGTCAGAAGTGGAGGGAACCTTAAGAACAAGCAGTGTTGTGACACAGTAGAGCATTTTGTAGACAGAATGTATCCTCAAGCAGCAGAGCGTGAGTGATGCATTCCTTATCTTCAGAGATGTACATTGGAGTGATGTCCTACGTGTTAAATGGGGAAAAAAGGAACCTCATGTCTACCTTTTATAGAAACAATAATCAAATGAAAAACTATGATAATTCAGCTACACACTTCGATGGACACCATTCACCACATGTCAAAACATATTAACAATTTTCAAGAAGTGGAGTGATGTTTAAGTGGAAAACTCCATACTTCATGCACAGATCAAATAACAATAAATATAATACTTATACTCCCAATAGATGGCAATCACAAAATCAGTGTTGTATAGTACATGTAAGAGAAAATTGAGAAATAGCAATAATAGTGCCGATCTGTATGGAATATTTACTGCACTTACAATAATTAAAATGTAGTCAAATCCAATAGAATGGCTAATAAGCTAGTGATAAAGTAACAATTTATTCAAACCCAAAGGTTAAAAGCAATACAGTTGAAATATAGTTAAAATATTGTAAAGCAAAATGCAAACAGGTTGCCACTTAGAAGATTAAATGGTGAGTATGCCAGTACATGTACCCGTTACTCACAACCACGCTCAATACAATGGGGGCTACCCATGTGGATCTGGACTCTCGGCGTCTTTCATCTGGTGGAGTTGTAATAATACCTGTGTGGATGCCGTTCGTCTTTCCCGGTGAAGCTCAGCTCCGCTCACCTGGACGCGTAATTGTAACGTCTATGCGTTTCGCCGTGAACAGACAGTTTCGTCAATAAGTTTGAAGCTATTTCAGTCCTTACCCGTAAGGGCTAATAAATGGGCAAATGTCCAATCTCTTATTGGTGAGATCTTAAATCTTGGATTTGCTTAATGCAATCTCTCCCAAGCTTTTAAAAGTCCCATGATTTAAAGTGACACTGCTTGCATAATGTTATCATATATTTACTAAACACAGTGAAATCTATATTTTAGGAGAACAAATTATCTATTAAGAACAAGTATCTTAAATTGAATAACAGATGTTCATACAGATGACAACTTTAGTTCGATTCAGACACCACATTTCATAAATAATAATCATACAGTTAAATAGTAAATTAAGACCTATTCATTTGATAAGGAAGAAATCAATAAAACATGAGTTTTTAGAATGTTCATAGTATTGATCTTATTATATATTCTATACATTGCAGAAAGAAAAAGTGATATTAAACATATTAAAAAAAATAAACATATATCACCCCATTAAACCAAATGGGTGTCATAAAAAAATGTGTATATAGTGAGTTTAACACACCAAGGGGCATAACATATAGCAGGGTGCCACAGTAGCCAATATTCATAGAACAGTGAAAATAAAAATGATAATAAAAATAGGAATAAGATGATGAGGTGGATATTATAAATTTAAAATTAAGAATTTTAAATCTAAAAAAAAGGGGGTCGATCTAATTTTCAAAATGACAAATTTCAAAATCATTATTTAATCCTTTGGGAATGTGTGTATTCAATTCAAACATCCACCTCATCTCTGTACAGCCCAAATGTTGCATAAAATTGCCTCCTCTTCAGTTCTTATTAACCTGTTGAATACTACATTATGATTTGTACTTTGCTGGTAACAGTGCTGGGTAAATAATAGATATTTGGCCTTCGTATCGTAGACCTGTGGCACACATATGTCCAATAATGAAAAAAAATCTGAATATATGGGATATTCTCAGCTTCTTGAAGTGAGGCAAAAGTAAGAGCATTGTTATCGTTAGATTACCAACAGTCTCTTTATTGTGAGCTGCCCACCAAGAGAATGTTTCTCTCCCCAATGGAAACCGAGGATTTATATAGGAGTATGTGGAGAGTTATGTGCCTTATAGACTGTAAGTTATAGACTGTAAGCTCCTTTGAGCAGGGTCCTCTTCAACCTATCGTTTCAGTAAGTTTTCTTGTAATTGTCCTATTTATAGTTAAATCCCCCCTTTTATAATATTGCAAAGTGCTATGGAATCTGTTGGCGCTATATAAATGGCAATAACAATAATTGAATACCATCTTGTGAGTATTCTACCTTCCCCTGCCCCCTTTCTTGATTATTTATAGCTGTATTACACTATTTTGTGAATATTTTTATTTTTCAAGTTTTATTATTTATTACCAGCTTGTATTCCACACATATTGTTATATATAATTTAATATGTTATTATTTTCTTTTTTATATACATTTGGGTGTGTGTGTTTTAATTTATAGAGTTTCTCCTTTTTGTTATACATTTTTGTATACTTTTGGGTATTTATATGTGTATTATATTTGTTTGTGTGTCAAGCTGGTGGGGACATGTGACCCATTGTGACTGCTCACTGTGACATCATTGTGACATCATGTAACATCACCCTTGATGCTCACAGTTTGCAGCAGTCACTAGACACGGCTTGGACAGTAGACACTGCTTAGCTGTTGTGGTGAGCAAATTGCTAGAGATGGCAAATAGAAATGTTTTCTCGTGGATTCGGCGTTTGCCCTTTCGAAAGGTAAGTAAATGACTTGTTTTCTTTAAGGTTCCAATTAACCCAACCATTAACTGGGGTTTGTAACATGTTAACTCCAAGTTTGTGGGTGGGTCCATATTTAAATTGATAACATGTATCACTAGAGGGGTAGAAGCAAATCATTATTGTATTCTTATCTCAATGGAGTTAAATGCTTAACTAATTTTTCTATATTAAAATCCCCATGTTACAGCAATTTGCAATAATGTTGCAGCTACAAGCCCATCGTTTCACTCACATCCAATTCTGGGAGTTGTTTGTCCTTGTTCATACAACTAGTTGTATATGTATCAGAATTAGAACAAACTCAATAAGTGGTTTACATACACTAAGGTTTAGACATATATTAATTATCGAGGAAATTCAATACATTAAAATACCACAAGACAGTGGCAGCCCAAGATACTAAACAGGAAATGGTAAATGGAAAACTAAACCCGAAAGTCAATTAAAATTGATGATTTCAAAATTCTCCAACTGGACTGTAACGACAGCTTAACTATTTTACCTTCAATTTTGCCATTTGGGTTTCAATGTACTAGAATTCAGTGTTCAGTGGATGAAGCCAAGTTACTCAATAGATTGGAAATCTATATAAAACATTTCCCATACTAGTTACATACAAGGTCAATGCAAGTTTTTTTACTACTTTAGGCAAAACAACATTTTGCTGACCCCCGCCCCCCACCACGCCAATATGCTCCGTCCATGGTATGACATCACACTGACCATAGCGCAATATGCGCCGCCTGTGGTGTATTTAAAAGAAACACTTTTATAAACGATCACAAATGTAACAGGCTTCATACAGCAAGCAGAGGTGCTTTAAGTTTTCAGGAGTTTTCCTTTAAAGGGCCACTCCAAACACCATAACCACTACTGCTAACTACCATTAATGAATTGTCAGCTGTTACTCTCAGCCAATCTCTGCCGTCTCCTTACTGGCTGTACCAATACTACTGCATTAGCCGAAGAGAAGAGAAGAGGGAGAGAACGGTTACTGATGGCACACATTTAGTGTTAAATTATTTACAAACAATTTAACACTTAAATATAAGGCTGTTCCAGGGACTCCAGGCACTATAATAACTTCCATGTGATTTAAGTAAACCCATACCTTTAGGTTGTTTGTAGTGGTTTATTGCTGGGCCCTGTGGCAGCAACGAGATGGACTGTAAAAACTTTGGTTAGTTAGAGCATTTTTATTTGAATTTATTTGGGTTTCTAATAGTTTTTGCCATTTCAGGGCGCCAGACGCAAGAAATGTGATGACACTGAGCAGAAAGGAGAGGACCCTTCGGGTATGTTAAAACATTGTGTGTGTGGCTGTTATATCTATCTTTGGGAAGCCTAGTAACAATTCTCCTAGCAAGACATTCCTTCTTCTATAACTTTAATAACAGGTTTCTGTTCATTTTTTACCAGGAAGGACACATTCAGATTTCTCTGGTTTGATTGCTTCCTGCAGAGTTTGTACAAAATATACAATGTTGACATTTCTGGGACATTAGATTGCAGAGTTAATATTTTGGGGAAGGTAGATCCATTTGTATATATTCAGACGCCGTTTCCATCTTGTGAGTCTCTTCTAACCCCCTTACCCATTGTATCCCCCCACCCATAATGCACTACTGTCTTAGTCCAGAAAAGATCTGGAATGTTCCCATTCTTTTTAATGACAATGCTAAGCATATCCCATAAACTCAGCAGGTGTATGTAGTTCAGCACTTGGCAGTAGTTTCATTCACTAATAGTCATGAAGAAACTGTTTATTGAGCTGCGTACTCCATTGATGTTTATAACTCAATGGAACCAGTGGTTGCCTCTCATTTGTAAACATAACAAATGCTCCCCCCAAGAAATGTAATTTAAGTGCATTTCGATATCAATATTTATATATTGCTATCAAAATTTATGTAAAATTAAATTACATATATATAAAGTATATATTTACATATTATTTTTACATAATAATGTGATTTTATTGATTATAAATTGGGGGACCTGCCTGACAACCCAGGCAGAAAGTCCAGTGAATTCAATTTACAAGCCCTATATTGTAACCTTGTAACTTTCCAAAACACCGTAAAACCTGGACATGGGGGCTACTGTTGTACTTGTGAGACTTGGCTGAAAACAAATACGTATGTTTTAAAAGAGTAAATCATTTAATGACGATGATATCATCAGTGAAAATGCAGCTTTTCTGTGACTAAGTGGCTCTTAAAAGATTAGATTTACCCCATTTGCAAAACCCTGGGTTGTCTACGTTTACAAATGGTTTGCCATGATGGGGGTAATTCTCATTCCTGGCCTGCCATACAGCCTTAAAGGCAACTAAACCAACAAATTTCAAGGTGCAAAAACTGCAAAGAGGGAAGTACTATATGTCACGCTGTAACTTTCCAAAAATCCATAAAACCTGTATATGGCTAAACATAAATATGTGCATTTTATTGCACTAAAAGTTAACAGTATTATGACATTTAAAGGTAAAATGCCACAGAGAACTTTTTAATTTCTCAAACTTTTTTTTTATTTTATTCATATTAAATTATGTTTCATACATAAATAGTTTATTTTTGTGAAATGAAAACCCTCTTTCTCTTGAACAAAACTGTATGTAATACGTGTGGGTGCACTTAATATGAAAGAGGTAAGCTATGGTTAAACAATATATATCTCAAATTCAAGGTTTGGTTTTGAACAGAACTTGGATAACTTCCTCCATCCTTAAGGGCTTAAAAGATATAGGACAAGGCAGGGAATAATATTATGTTGTAGTTATAATTATCAGAAGACAAAAGCAGGGATAGGGAAACTTTGGGCACCAAAACATTTGAGAGCACATAACATATTATGGTACATGAAGTGTCTGAATAAAAGTGTATGTATTAAAAGATCCTATAATTTGTCATGTTGCCTTACTTGTATTGTGTGATATTTCAAACCAGTGAATGAACAATATTGTCTGTCTACATTGTGATTTGACTACTGTCTTTTTATTATTATTTATAGAGTGTCCAATTACTCCAAACTCTCCTAAAATTGCCAAGGGCTCAGCTGTAAATGGTAGTTTTTCCTCAATCGATCTGAACTCTCCTAAACGTATCGTATTGGCAGCTAATACCGAGTCATCAAAGGACATCCCTAAACATGTAGCTCAACCGGATATTGATAAAGTTAGGGAGCAGATCAAACAGGAAATTAGAAAAGAACTTAAAATTACAGCAGGAGCCAGAAACATGGTAAAGGCTACAACCAAGAAAAAACATCTTGCAAAAGTCAACAAGTTTCTCAAAACATCACAAAAAAAACTGGATGATCTTTACATTAAACTTCAGGAGCGCAATGCGCATATTGTTGTGCCAGACGCAGAAGGTACATTCCAAGACTTTGTGTTTCCTTGTAATGAGTGTGTGTATGTGCTTGTTTATTGTAAATATATTTCAATCATTTCCTGGAGAACATGGATAAATACTATGTTACGCATCCAACATGTAAATGTAACCTACAGATATATAGAGGAACGTTAGCAGTACTGTTTTTCTTTTTCTTTTTCATTTTATAATCAGGTGGATGTTTTAGAGACTTCAAACAGCAAATCGTAACTTTGGATCAGTTACTGCACTCGTGATGTGCTGTATGAGATTGTAGACTGACTTATAGAAAAGATCACTTACTGAGCATCAGATCAGCCACATTATACAGCGTGAAAACGTGCAGAATAAAATAAATACTGGCTGAGGAAAGCTTAGCCTTGTTAGTTTTACAGAAACATAAAACAAAAATTTGCAGCTTCTCCAGCGAGCTCTGTTTAGATGGGAAATCTCTCACCCAAACCTGGTAATTGCATTATTCCCTATGAGAGCCTATATGGGGGGGTTGTGAAAACACACAGAGTTACAATGTGGCTTATAGAATGACCCCATTTATGTCGTGACTGGCTATAATAATGGCAATCTCACTGACATATATAGAAGCTGGAATAGTTAGTGGATGAGTTTATGACGTGACACCTCAAAGAGAATACTGTTCATACCGTCCCGTTATGATGTCATCAAGCACGGGGGACGTTTAGCTGCAGTGATTTTTGTTGTTTTTGTTGATTTTCTGTTGCTCTTAGGTTTTGTGTAAATTACAATATCTTTACTTACAGATGTTACTGTTATTGCCTTTTTTATTTATTAAGTGAAACTGTCTGCCGACATTTCTAAATTCTGTATTTTTTTTTCTTGTTACTAATTTCCGTGATGTCCAGAGATGTCAGCTGCTCCTAAAGATGACACCAGCTCCCAGGCACATAACGTGAAGCTGACTGCTTTGCAGAAACAGCTAAGCATTGAGCTGAAGGTGAAACATGGAGCAGAGATAATGGTCGGTGCATATTCAAATGGGTATTCCAAAGTAAGTTGGTTATATTTAAATAAGAGACAGAAAAAATTCTTTAAACTTTTTTTTTTTGGTGTGGGAGTGGTGGAAACACATTGTACAATGCATAATTTTTTTCAGCCCAACAGCATTTTATCTGATTTAAGCTAATAGTATGTTGGTGATATTTGTTCATGGAATCAAGAGATGCGATAGAAACTAAATTTCCATGAGTTTGCCGACACCATCTCAACTATTTAGTTGAAGGCACAAGCTTTTCTTAATCGGCCATTAATTATTTTTAATATTTCTAATTGGAAAGCATGCAACCAATGTTATTTAATTTTCTATGTAAAGATTATAATGTGTATCTTGTTCCATAATGCATGTGTCTATAATTTAGTTTGCCTGCACAGAAGCACTGTGGTGTTTGACATCTGGGTGAAAATCATTGTTTAAGGGGTAATAATTAGATCAAAACATAGTCCATGTCTGTCCTGGGGTGTGAGCAGTCAGGGCTTATTTCCTAGAATAGGGTAATTGAGGCTACACTTCTTCATACATCTCACTCAATTATCTGACTATTCTTATTGCTGTTACAGAATGTCAAACATCTTACTGCTGTCCAGAAAATACTACAAGACAGCGAGAACAAAATAGACAGTTTACGCAACTTAATTCTGGAAGAAACATCTATCATTAAAGGTAAAGGTTCAGTAACCTCATATGTAGTTTAAAAGAAGATTTATGGGTAACAATGAAAACTGTTCAAAAACGGTTTGACTACTTATAATGGGATCCAGGGCACTCCTGGCACCATAACCACTACTGCAAGATATAACTCTCTTACAGGAAGGTCTGAGAGAGCGGTGTATATCCCGTAGACCTCTATACTCCAAGGGTTTGTGAGGAAATGTACAGATTATTATTAATGTTATTATATGTATAGCACCAGGAAATTCTGCAGCGCTTTACAGTGGGTGGACTAACAAACATGTAATTGTAACCAGACAAGTTGAACACACAGCTACAGAGGGGTTGAGGGCTCTGTACGATGAGCTTACATGCTAAAGGGAGTGGGGTAAAGTGACACAAAAGCTAAAGGAAGTATAGGGAAGTAATGACAGTTGCAGGAGAGGAATCAGTCGGGAGCTGCTAACAGTTTAACTGATATGCTTTTGTGAAGAAGTGGGCTTTTAATTATTTTTTTGAAGGAGTGGAGACTGGGTGTGCGTCTAACGGAGAAGGGATGGGAGTTCCACAGGAACAGTGTAGCCCTAGAAAAGTCTTGAAGGTGAGCATCAGAGGTGGGAGTACGGACTGAAGATAGACGTCCACTTAGAACTGGGAGCAAAGGGAGTTATACCAACACGCAAATACATTTTATATTATTTACAAAACATATATCTTAGAAATCTGTACATGAGCCGGTTAAAGCATTGGGAATATTACTGCCTTAGAACTGGGAGACCAAGGTTTGAATCCTGGTTTAGACCTTGCCAGTAAGTGTCTGTGGGTAGGATTAATTACTGAATGGATGTACGTTGAGCAGTAACTTCATCAAACCTAAATATCCCCTTTCTATAATTGTAAACCACTGCAGAATATGTTGGCGCTATATAAGGGATAATAGTAATATCCTGAAATAATTTGCAAAACATTTTACAAGATAAATTCTTGTTAGTCAGTCCCTTTAAAAAATAGCTTTTATATCAAATAGTTCACTGAGAGATATTAAAACTTACATATTAAGGTGGCGATCAAAGCCTGACTTAGTGTAAATCAAACATACATTCTGCTGGGTGCTTTAAGCCATTCATATCAAATCAAGATCAGTGACCAGAATATTGTCAGAGAAACTAATGACAGACACCTACCTGCGTCTGGAAAAATTCAGAAATCTATGTTCACCTAGAAACAAATAGATGGAAAACACACTTCCTGAGTCTCATGCCAACACACCAGTCGGGATGGTCATCAATGCAGACATGAGAGGGACTTGCAGGTGCTCCTCCGAGGGAACAAATGTGTAAAATTCCAAATAGTGACCTTTGGGTTGATAGGTTCTGGGAGCATAATGTCTTCTTTAAGGACATATCAAAGCTTCTGAATATAAAGAGCATTAAAATATATAGAGATATAATGAACATTCTAAAAACAAGGCAGCTCTATGATTAACATGACGTTCATATGAAAGAAAACCACCTATGGTCCTTTAAATGGACAATTCTTAATTGTTCTCTGATGAGAGCTGAATTACTGCAATAGTCTCCTTCGAGAAAGGCAACTTCAAATGTGCCCAGCACTGTGAATTTATTCGCTAAGCATTGTGGAATATCATATTCCAAATGTTGACAGGCAGGTGATGCATGCGCATCAATTCTAACAGCCATCCTGCAGGAGGTGCATGCTTCATTTCAGCTATACGGTATATAAACAGGATATATATCTATTGAACATTTATTGTGTCCCCTCCAATACTACTGACATTATTAGTTTATACATATATGAGTTATACATGATATTATGGGTTTACATATAAGCATTATTAGTGTTTGAAAAACTAATTGATTCTTCTATAAAATTAAATATCATAAAGATCTATGATTGGAGATTGTGGTTCTTGTTTTATTCTCTTTAGAATTGAGGTGAAAATAATTGTAGTATCATTGATCACTGTGAATGATATACAATACTTACATTATGTTATGTCTAAACCTTTACAGAAGAAACATCGTTACCAGTTCTGGAGACGGACATTAATATTCTTGCCCCTTCGTTATTGGTGACAGACGTACAGGAGCCAGAGCCGGCTGGGTATTCACTTTATATCTTTCTAATCAATGTTGTTAGAACCTGAAACCCTCCCAGTTCACAGTACTATACATGTTGAATTATCTATAAGTCCGACATATGTTTGCCTACTGCTGTCTACACATTTCTTAGCATGTGTATCAGTCACAGATTCATTTTATAATGCTGTCTACATGTTGCATACTTGTGACAAGTAGCCAGATCTCCTTCTCTTTGCAGGACTCTGTGAATTCTGCAGTCTGCCAGGCAGGGTGTGAAAGTACTTTGGATGTCACACAGGAATGCAGAACTCTATACAGTGCAAAAACATAGAAATCTGCAACCCTACTTATATGTATTATTGGGGTGTCCTTTAAAATAATGCACTGTATATAGCAGCATCAATGTCTAAAATATAATGAGTATATAGATCTGATAATCTGCCATAATATTTTAACGATTAAACCAGATAAACTATTATTGTCTTCCTCCTGATAGCGATATTCCAAACTTTGATATGAAACCAATTAGCCCACCGGATGTGGAGTTTGACTCAGAGCCACCTCCTGCTCCAAGTCAATCATTTCTACACAGTGATCAGAGTTGGTTTTCATTCCATATTGAGATCCCGGACATACTGGCTCAGGTAAAGATGTGCTCACTTTATTTTGGTTGTTTTTAATCCTTAAACTTACGTGTATACTCTGCGTAGAATAACCATTACAGCTTAGTGCAGTAGTTCTAGTGCAGAGGGTCTGTGGCTACTAACCCACTTTTTTGTCAAACCATTTGGGAGCATTTTGACACTGGACTTTGGCTAGCATCCAGTGACTGCACCCCTCGCCACAGGGATAATGTGGAACTTAAATTTTTGCGCTATAAATGTTATATCCAACCGGGACAGCTGTGGGGTTATCCTGAATTGTCAGCCAATCAATGCCATCCAGGTTGCATAAAATTGGTATTGATACAAAAATGTTAATTGATCACTATCAGTATGGCTGAGGAGGGGGGAAGTATCCAGGTATTTGGGAGTATCTAATTGGTTTGACATTAAACCATGGATAGAACCAGGACACTCTAATTAATGTAACTACTACAGTGAGCTAGAATGGTTATGGTGCTTACAATTTCCTTTTAATCATTATTTTCTTACATTCACTGCTTCTCTCTCCACTCCCAGCAAACCTAGCTTCCTTTAGTTTTCTCTACCATTTTATTGCGTCTGACTTTCTTTTCTAGAATTCTGGAGATATCTATGAATGTAGCATTGATAACAGATACATCATGACACCAGATGAAATGAGTCAGCCTAATTGTTCCAGTCTGGATAATAGTGTTCCTGAAAATTCTGAGAACCTACCACATGACCACTTACCTGCTATGTGGACTCAAGATCAACTTCTTCTCAAATTGCAGGACATCCAGCATTGCTCTATGCTGGAGGAGGGACAATCTGTAAAAGTAAGTTTAAGGTGGAATTCCAGTTCTAGTTCGATATAACAGATATCTTAACAAATGTAAGACAGTACAACACAATCAATGCCATCAGGTTGTATAAAATTGGTATTGAAGAGAAATGGTAATTCCTCACTATTTTACAACAAACTAGAAAAGAAAATGGCAGTCATATCTCCTAAGATCAGGGAGCTATTTCCTTATCCGTATATTTAACATGTGATTGTGAGATGTGAACAATAACATTAAACATAGAATTTCAGTCTTTTATTCAGTGGCGCCAGTTCTGAGAAATGACAATAAAACCCAACATTAATGTGTCTGACTTTCTTTTCTAGGATTCTGGAGATTGCTATGAATGTAGCATTGATAACAGATTCATCATGACACCAGATGAAATGAGTCAGCCTAATTGTTCCAGTCTGGATAATAGTGTTCCTGAACATTCTGAGGACCTACCACAAGACCACTTACCTGCTATGTTGATCCAGGATCAGCTTCTTCTCAAATTGCAGGACATCCAGCAACGCTCTGTGCAATCTGTGAAAGTAAGTTTAAGGTGGAATTTCAGTTCTAGTTCGATATAACAGATGTCTTAACAAATGCAGGACAGCACAACACAATGAATGCCATCATGTTGCATAAAATTGGTATTGATACAGAAATGTTACTTCCTCACTATCAGTATGACTGAGGAGGGGGGAGGTATCCGGGAACTTGGAAGAATCAAATTGGTTTGACATTAAACCAGGGATAGCACCAGGACACTCTAATAGTAATTAATGTAACTACTACAACAAACTAGACTGGTTATGGTGCTTACAGTTCCCTTTTAATCATTATTTTCCCAAATTCACTACTTCTCTCTCCAGTGGCGTACACACAATCCATGGGGCCCTGGTGCAAAACTGACATCATCAAAGTGGGCCCGGTCGCGCTGTTACCAGGCCCACTCTGATGATGATATTCATTTCCATCGGGTTTCCTTAACAGCATGGGCCACCCAATGGGCCCCTTCACCTGCGGCCCGGGTAAGTATACTGCGCGATCGGGGCCACAACACATGGCAGCAGGCACGCGGTATGTACACAGCTGTCTCTCTCCACTCCCAGTAAACCTAGCTTCCTTTAGTTTTCTCTACAATTTTATTGTGTCTGACTTTCTTTTCTAGGATTCTGGAGATAGCTATGACTGTAGCAGTGATAACAGATTCATCGTGACACCAGATGAAATGAGTCACCCTAATTGTTCCAGTCTGGATAATAGCGTTCCTGAAAATCCTGAGGACCTACCGCAAGATCACTTACCTGCTATGTGGATTCAACATCAGCTTTTTCTCAAATTCCAGGACTTCCAGTATCGCTCTGTGCAATCTGTGAAAGTAAGTTTAAGGTGGAATCACAGTTATAGTTTGATATAACAGATGTCTTAACAAATGTAGGACAGCACAACACAATCAGTGCCATCAGGTTGTATAAAATTGGTATGGATATAGCAATGTTAATTCCTCACTATCAGTATGGCAGAGGAGGGAGGAGGTATCCAAGTACTTGGAAGAATCTAATTGGTTTGACATTAAACCAGGGATAGCACCAGGACACTCTAATAGTAATTAATGTAACTACTACAGTGAGCTATAATGGTTATCGTGCTTACAGTTCCCTTTTAATCATTATTTTCCCAAATTCACTACTTCTCTCTCCACTCCCAGCAAACCTAGCTTCCTTTAGTTTTCTTTACAATTTTATTGTGTCTGACTTTCTTTTCTAGAATTCTGGAGATATCTATGAAAGTAGCAGTGATAACAGATACATCATGACACCAGCTGAAATGAGTCACCCTAATTGTTCTAGCCTGAATAATAGCGTTCCTGAAAATTTCGAGGACCTACCACATGACCACTTACCTGCTATGTGGATTCAGGATCAGCTTCTCAGAATGCAGGACTTCCAGTATCGCTCTGTGCAATCTGTGAAAGTAAGTTTAAGGTGGAATTCCAGTTCTAGTTCGATATAACAGATATCTTAAAAAATGTAGGACAGCACAACACAATCGATGCCATCAGGTTGTATAAAATTGATATTGATACAGAAATGGTAATTCCTTGGTATCAGTATGACTGAGGAGGGGGAAAAAATCCAGGTATTTGGAAGAATCTAATTGGTTAAACATTAAACCAGGGAGAACGGCAGGACACTCTAGTCACTATAACCACTACAGTGAGCTAAAATGGTTATGGTGCTTACAGTTCCCTTTTAATCATTATTTTCCCACATTCACTGCTTCTCTCTTCACTCTCAGCAAACCTAGCTTCCTTTTCACTACCCCGTGCTTCCTTTCCTTTATTGATCAATATGTTTCAGACTCAATCGTACAAACCCCCAACACCGTGGGTGAGCTTTCTAGTTGAGATTATGGCTGCTATCCCTTTATAAAAGGAGAGCGGGTTATGGCCTTCACAGTTTGCTCCATACATAGTTTCTGCTGCCTTGTCAAATTAAAATAAACACATATTTTAAAAAAATGAAAAGAATCATATAAAAATGATAGAAAGTATGAAATGTATACGATAATTTGCATTTCTTGATCAATTGAGTTGCTGAATTCTGGGTTTAGTAAATAAATCAGAGCGTTTGATGGTTTATCAAAGGGTAACAATCACTTCCCAGGACGTTTAATATTATATTTACTTATCCCTAAATTCAACGACTATCTGTTTGTGAAATGTGAACGATAAAATTAAACGTAGAAATCCACACCTCTTTATACTGTAACTGGGCGCCTCCATCTTAGCTCCCTGTCAGTCATCGTTAAAAGCTCCGCCCTTTGCATCTGACCGTCAGCACAGAGTGATCATACAGAAAGGAGGAGAAATGAAACAATGTTTCTATATGTCCTCTTCATTTGCATTGTGTGCCCTGGCTGTGCCAGAACTAAACAAAAAGAAAACAGAACATCTCATGAGAAACTGTTAACATGTATGTGATTTTCAATTTTTTATTCAATGGCGTCTGACTTTCTTTTCTAGGATTCTGGAGGTAGCTATGGATGTAGCATTGATAGCAGATTCATCATGACACCAGATGAAATGAGTGAACCTAATTGTTCCAGTCTGGATAATAGTGTTTCTGAAAATTCTGAAGACCTATCACATGACTACTTACCTACTGTGTGTACTCAGGGTCGGCCTACTCTCAGAATGCAAGACTTCCAGCTTTGCTCTGTGCTGGGTAAAGGGCAATTTGGGAAAGTAAGTTTATGGTGGAATTCGAGTTCTAGTTCGATATAACAGATGTCTTAAATTCAGGATAGCACAACACTTTATTCTTTAATTTCAGGTTCTGCTGGCCGAGCACAAGGAAACAACCAACATGTATGCCCTGAAATTCATAAAAAAAGTAAACTTAGAATCACCACATCAGTTCAACAAGTCAGTGAATGCAGTAATAAATATCTTGTGTTTGTGAAGAGGACCATGTCCTGTTTCTGTGGGGGGTTTTTTCATTTGATTTTAGAGTCGAAGAAAATAAACTTTTATTTTCCTTTCCAGCCTTCTGAGTGAAAAGCGGATATTCCAGACAGTGAGCAATAGGCGGCACCCATTCCTTATGAACTTGTTTGGGTGTTTCCACACCCGAGATCATGCCTGCTTTGTTATGGAATATGCAGCAGGGGGCGACCTTCTTACATGCCTTGATAACAACCATGGCCCATTTCCAGAACCCAGAGCAGTGTGAGTATAAGCAGCATTCTGTCCATTTATCGATATCTCATCCAATGTTCTACAGATGGTGGCTTGAGCTGGGCTACACCTTCCATAACATCTTGTCAGATTATGAATTAATTCTGGGATATCACACTTTGTTTAAATTCTGTGTTTATTTAGTTTAGAATGACTTTAAACTGTATAACTTTATATCCTATGAGCTGCTGTATATATCTTTACCATTATGTGTCAATGCTGGATCAGAGCAGTTACTTCTGACCACATACACCGCTGTCTGCACCAACTATGTCTAATGACTCTGCAAGTATCGGCATTGGTGAATTGAACCTGCTGTAAGTGATAAACAACCAATCACCATTGTATCAGCTCATACATAACACACTAGCAGTGAAAGACATGAGGAAACCTGGGAATTAATGTACTCTGTCAGAATACAGAGTTGGATATATGGAATAAAACCATTTAATCGTGCAAACACTGTATCTTCTAGAAAGCCATTCATTTATTTATTTTTCCCCAGATTTTATTCTGCATGTGTCGTCCTTGGACTTGAGTATTTACACGAACAAAACATCGTCCACAGGTAAGCCTATAAAAAAACAAAACTACACGTTATTTAGGTGTTATTTATGGCACACAGTCTGTCTAACCCAGTTTAATTATCTAGATTAAGTTATTAATTTTAACCAATTAAAAATCCTGAACAATGAGAGCTATTCTAAGTGCTTCTAGTGTTATGTAAAATAAATAAAACTTCCTTTTCTACATTTTAATCTAGAGATCTGAAGCTTGAAAACATTGTTCTGGATGAGAGAGGATTTGCGAAGATAACTGACTATGGTCTCTCTAAAGAAGGTAAATAGAATGCTCTAATATAATTTTAGATACAAAAAGGTCACACTTACGAAGTTCAAATCAGTTATCTTTCATTTAAACAGCCATTTAACATATAATAGGATGTCTATAAAAGGTATGCTTAATTCCAAAACTGACATAAAGGAACTTTATAACATTAAAAATAAGAGCATTTATTTTTAATGTAAATTATTCCTAAGTGAGCCTCCCATTTCTTTTCCAGCAATTTTTTATGAATGGGCAGTGACTGATTGCTGAGAGCGTCAGCTGACCGCTCCCAGACAATCAGCAGTCCCCCTGCCCAGTGGCACTCCGTGCTTCTTAAAACTGTAATTTCAGAAGCCAGATGCCGCCTGAGGGAAGTAGTGATTGGAGATGGAGGCTCACTTTGAGATTAAACAGTTCAAGAACGGTTTGACCACTTGAGATAGGCGTGCGCCCTGGAGGCCTCCTGGCACCATAACAACTTCAATTACATTTTTATGGTGCCCGGAGTGTAAGTGTATAAAGTACTTCTGTTTTATTTTGTTTTTATCAAACTAAATTTAAGTATTTTCCTGATAGTCAGACCCAGCCACGGTGCTGCCACTGCGATAATTGAAATTTTCGGATGGAAATGATATGAGAAGTTGTGGCAGCAACAAACTTAAAGAAAGTCATATCCAAATGTAAATTGCTAAAATTGAACATCTATCCTCAACTTATATACAATTCTATTTTCACTATTTCTGAGGAATTGGATACGGAGACAGAACAAACAGCATTTGTGGAACTCCTAATTATCTGGCTCCTGAAATGGCCAAGCGCAAGACATATACAAGATCTGTGGACTGGTGGAGCTTCGGAGTGGTTATTTATGTAATGTTAACTGGAAACGTAAGAACAATCTTTCATTAAGAATTTACAGTCAGATTTATAAAGAGACTCTGACAAGTATTTGCTTTTAACATTACAGCAATCTTTATTAAAAAGTTGCTCTATTTATTTTTGGTTTTGTTTTATTACTTTTTGTTGGCCTCCCCTCTTCCAATAATTCCTCTCTCTCCAACATTCACACCCACATTTGTATACAAACGTATCTCACCCCAAAACAGACACCCCCAATTAATTAACTCCTCCCTTCCAAACACAGACCCCACATTCCCTGACCGTTATTTTTGCACTCGTTTACCTGTCATTTTCCTTCAACTATTATATTCCAACATTTCTTTACAATGAACCCATCCTTATCCAAATCACATCTCAAATTAACCCCTCCCCATAATAGATCCAGACAGCTTCAATACCCTGTAATTAACCCCTGACCCTTGGTTCCCAAATCTAAATCTTTTACCAATGAATTATCTCCATCTTCTGCTCTGCCCCTGGTCCAGTTACTTAGTGCTCCGGTGGCTGACAATGTGTGCGTACATCGTGTGTAACCCTCTGTATACCACTTCTTTGTGAATACCTATACGGTCAGAAGATGTTTAGTAGTTCTGACTCTAATAAACATCCCACCTACTAACTTGCTTAAATGTTTTGTATTTAACTTTTTTTGTCTCCTGACAAAAAGAAAAAAGCCATCGTAATCCAATGTTACTGTACAAAATAAAACAAATAATACTAGATGACAATTTAAAAAGTAAATAAATAAAAACACCAGGAGAAAATTAATTATACAATAGACCATGGGTGCCAAAAAGGTAGATCTTCCATGATGCTTTTTCATTGTAAAGGTATGCAAAGCATCATGGGAGTTGTTGTTAGAGAGCATCTGGGGATCTACCTTCTAGGCACCCCCTGATATAGACCTTCCAGTCCTTTATCTCAGAGCTCAAAAATTGATATTCCCTGCGGTCTTGAAAATCGCTCAGCGTTTTGAAAATTCCAGCCAACCAAAGTGCATTTCCGGACGCGTTTCACTCCCCTGCGGTACGCTTGATGATGTATTTCACGACAGCGTTCAGTTATCTTTCACATATTATATACACTCGCACACACATGGTTGTTGAGTTGTGATATACACATTGTGTAATCTGTACTACGAAGATTATAAAACCCTAACTATTAATTTATTGTTCAGCTTTCAGCTACTACAATTTACAACTTATTCAAACCTTAACTGAGGTTTTTTTAAATGTAATTTTTCTCTAGTTACCCTTCGAAGGCCGTGATGTTGAGACACTTTATGCTAAAATTGCCAAATGTAAACTAAAAATTCCAGAGTCATTGTCTAGTGAAGCCACTTCAATACTGAGTAAGGTAAGTTGTCACGCAAATTTAATATATCATACAACCCATGCTGAAAACATCCATTCGCCATCAATGAGTGGAGATTCAGACCTAGCAAGCTGCCTTGAGATGGGGGAATTCTGTAGAATGGGCAGTAAAGAATGGAGGTCCGGCTGACCTTTGGGAGAGGAAATGTATCAGTTTTTTTATTTGATGTTTATACAATAGTTCTCTTATTGGTCATGCAAATTTTCAATGCTATATATTCACCTTGAATTGGATGTAGCTAGCTGTGTGTGTTAATGCTGGTAAAGAAACATTCATTATTACAGAGTATTAAAACAAAACCCGAAATATCTGCTCACTTATTCTATGACATCCATAAATGATGCAATATTACATCTAACACTCATTCTCTATAGTTATGTGACTCACAGCGCCCACTAGTGGCTTGTATAAAAACATAGTAGCAGTTACAAACCGTGTACAAACACCACCACGATTTATCCTGGCGTAAAACATTGCATTGCCAGCATCCCCCTCAAACAGTGAGATTACTACCCACTATATGTTTATTTATAATTAATAGCGATAATACACATTTTTCCTTTACCTTTGTTCTGTCCCTTTGAGTATAACGCTGAAGAAGTAAATACGAAAAGACAAAAATAATGCATTTCACATGAACAGTACTGAGCATTGAACATCTCAAAATACACTCAGCGCTGGTGCAAGGGTTCTTGGCTACACAGGCAAAAATCCATTTAGCGCCCCCTTTCACACTCTTCTCCCCCTGTTGTGCAGTTCTCACACAGATATCTCGTACCCTGGATGGAGCCGCACACCCACAGGACCTCCAACAGGGCCCGACTTACTGTTAATGTTCCTGATGTTTAGCATTAAAATTAACAAAACCTATTTTACAAAATTCCTTTTACAGTTACTGACTAAAAAACATGAGAAACGTCTAGGATCCAGTGAGAAAGATGCACAGGAAGTGAAGGACCATCCTTATTTTCAAGTACGTACATATGTTTTTTTGTTTTGTGTTTTTTACTGTGGTTTTGTCACTAAATATTTGTGTGATTTTAGGAAAAATAAAATCTTTGTAATATACTGAAATTCTAACACAGCCAAAAGAGAACATAAATTGGGATCTAAACAAAATGTGGCTTTTTGGGCATATTAGCTGTTATCTTGTATTTTATATAGTCTTGGTTTGTACGTGATGCTCATTATTTTACAAATTCCTTTCCAGCATATAGATTGGAACGCATTATTATTACAAAATGTGACACCTCCATTTGTGCCAACCATCAACGGAGCCGAAGATGTCAGCAACTTTGATGCGATATTCACCTCGGAAGCGCCTATTATAACTCCACCAGCAAGACGAAGAGTTCCACCGTTAATGGAGAAGAAGACATTTGAGGATTTTTGTTGGAGGGCAGATTGGAGTTAATCTCGGTTGTGATCCACAATAAGAATTACTGGAGAGAGAATTAGCATTAATATATTCTACCAATGAAATCATTTGTTGAAAACTAAAGTGAGAATTCAAACTGAATTTCAAATTTAGAGTTAAAAAAAAGAAAAAAGAAAAAAAGAAACATGCCCTCAGTCAGCTACGATTCCAGATTGGCTACTTTGGCTTTAAATTTGCAAATCACTTTGATTTCTCATTTTTGGAAATAACCCTGCAAATTGTTGAATTGTGTATACGTGTATTATTATTGTTGTTAAAATAAAATAAAAAATTTGACATTAAAAAAAATGTAAATTTAGACGTGAATCTTTGTGTAGCAGAAGAAGGAGGAATAGTACCAGGCTTGGGACCCAGACCTATTCCATCCAGCGTTCGTCCCTTCTCCTAAGGGGAAATATAATAGAGAGTCAGCCTTTCCTTCCAGCAATACCCGATTAGTAATGTCAGTGATCTTCCAGACAGAGAGCCAGCCTTTCCTTCCAACAATAACCGATTAGTAATGCCAATGATCTTCCAGACAGAGAGCCAGCCTCTCCTTCCAGCAATACCCGATTAGTAATAACAGTGTTCTTCCAGACAGAGAGCCAGCCTTTCCTTACAGCAAGCCCCTGTCATATCCACGCCCCCAAAATGTGAGTGTCTGGGGAATGTGGGATGACAGGGGCCAATGGGAGCAACTTTCATTTTTTGGCTCCCACTGCCCCTTTAAGAGCATGCCTGCGACGCGCGGCACGCTCTTAGAGCTAGGTGGAACACGTGACCGCATCTCGCGGTCCGTGCCCGCCTTCATTTGGGAGCTGCGCGCGGCGGGAAGTGAGGACCTCGGCCGGCCCCCGGGTAAGGTAAGTACCGCTACAACTGGGAAGGGAAAGGGCTAATCACTGTTCCAGTGTGGAGGATTCAACAGGGAAAGTCCTTTTAAGCACTAGATCTTCCAGGACTAAGTGTCATCCAGTGCCTGGGGGTGGATAGAGAGTTCCCCATTCAGCTCCATGAGGGAGCGGTTCCAGGACCCCAGTCAAGTCACGGCGACTGTGGGCAGAAGTGCTGCGGTATTATAAAATAGGAAATGCACTTACATTTATTGGAGCTATATATGTGGATCTGTTAGTGTGTATGATCACCTCTCTGAGGATATGTAGGTGGTGGGGGGTCTTCTCTGTGGTACTTATAAAAATATCAATATAGTGCACACTGTGTGATTGGGTGGGTGAGAGATGAAAATTCACTTAATAGCTCAGGAGCAAAGTATGGTTTTGCTCACTCAATAAGGTTCTGGTGGTACACCTCCCCACCTTGGAGAACGAAGTAGAAGAAATACGTGGAGTGCCAAAGTGAGACGGGATGGTCCAGGGTAGTTAGAAAATGAGTATCTTTTAATAAATACAATAAAACAAAGAGTTAAAACACTGATAATTAAAAGGAACACAATGTGTATCGCCACTGCATAGGGCTTTGTCAAGTGTCCTTGAAATTGAAAAAGCTCTATGCTGTGGTGAAACGCGCTGTTAATTTTGATTATAAGTGTTTTAAATGGAAAGACCCCCGATAGGCAGTACAATTACTAGCCTAATATACAATGATATAACAGTGGATGATGAATAGTCCTTTTAAGAATACATTTTCTTCCCCAGATCTTAAGAAACTCTTCAAGCAGTCTGGCCAGGATATAAATGGAAATTTATCATACCAAAACCTCAAGGACTCACTTGGGCCTGGCATACCACAGTCTTTAAAGGAATTTGATACCGATGGAGATGACAGATATTCCTTCACTGAACTGAAAGATGCTTTAGGTTTTTAATTGCTGCACCCGATACAAAGAATAGAGAAATCACTGAATTGAAACTATTCATACACATGTCCAATTGACCTCAGGGCCAGATTAAGAGCCTAGTGGGCCTGGTTCTGACAATTATGATGGGGCCTAATTACAGAATTTTATCGACCAAAAACACTAAAACAGTCATACCTCTAAAGAGTCATGTATCTGATGGAGTTGGTGTTGGAGGGAAACTCAAAGGATACAGCTATAAGAAAACACATACTCTATGCTAATCTCTTTATCTAATTCATGCTTTCATCTTTCAAGTAAATCCATACCCCATAACAGCAGTGTCCATGGGCGGGGTAAAAGGGTGTGCCACTGACGCAATTCCCGTGACCAGTACAGCCAAAAGGGGCGAACATGCCCAAAAAGGGGGCATGTCTGTCCAAAGAATTGGAAGGCCAGCCTGGCATCAGTGTCCCTATGTATCACAGTGTCAATGTCCCCATGTCGCCCAATTCCCTAGTCTCCCAGTGTCTGTGTCCCCATTTCTCCCAGTGTCCCCATGTCTCAGTGTGTCCTGTATCACTAGGATACTAGGGGACACAGAGACATGGGGACACTGAGAGATCCGGGGACACTGGGAGACATGGGGGCACTCGGAGATGTGGGGGCACTTGTGAATACAGACATGGGGACACTGGGAGACATGAGGACACAGACATTTGGGGACACTGGGAGAAATGAGGAGACAGACACTAGGGACACAGACATGGGGACACAGACACTAGGAGACAGGAGGACACAGACACTAGGGCCACTGGCTGGGAGGCATGGGGACACAGACACTTGGGGAGACTGGGAGACATGGGACACAAAGGACACAGAGACATGGGGACACAGACACTGGGAGACATGGGGACACTGAGACACTAGGGACACTGGCTGGGAGACATAGGGACACTGGGAGACATGGGGACTCTGAGACACTAGCTGGGAGTCATGGGGACACTAAGAGACATAGGGACACTAAGAGACATGGGGACATAGATACTAGGGACACTGGCTGGGAGGCATGGGGACACAGACACTTGGGGACACAGACACTTGGGGACACTGGGAGACATGGGGCACTTGTGGACATAGACATGGGGACACTGGGAGGCATGGGGACACTGGGAGACATGGGGACACTAAGGACATAGAGACATGGGGACACAGACACTGGGAGACATGGGGACACTGAGAAACTAGGGACAATGACTGGGAAACATAGGGACACTGGCTGGGAGTCATGGGGACACTGGGAGACATGGGGACATTGAGAGACATGGGGACACAGAGACATGGGGACACAGATACTGGGAGACTAGGGGATACTGGGAGCCATGGTGATAGACATTTGGGTAATCTAAGACACTAGGGACACTGAGAGACATAGGAACGCAGACACTAGGGACACTGGCTGGGAGGCATGGGGACACAGACACTTGGGGACACTGGGAGACATGGGGCACTTGTGGACATATACATGGGAACACTGGGAGACATGGGGACAATGAGACATTTGGGGACACTGGGAGACATGGAGACACTAAGGACACAGATACATGGGGACATAGACACTGGGAGACATGGGGACACTGAGACACTAGGGACACTGGCTGGGAGACATAGGGACACTGGAATACATGGGGACACTGAGACACTGGCTGGGAGCCATGGGGACACTGGGAGACATGGGGACACTGAGAGACATGGGGATACAGAGACATGGTGACACAGATACTTGGACACCAGGGGACACCCGGAGTCATGGGGACACTGAGACACTAGGAACACTGGCTGGGAGACATGGGGACACTGTGTCCCTAGTGTCTCCGTGTCCCAATGTGTCTCCCTATGTCTCACAGCGTCACCATGTGTCTGTGTCACCATGTGTCTCAGTGTCCCCATGTCTCCCAGTGTCCCCACATCTCCCAGTGTCCCCACATCTCCCAGTGTCCCTAGTGTCTATGTCCCCTAGTGTCTCCCTGCTGCCTTTCCCCCCATCCTTCACATACCTGAGCTGTAGTCTGTCTCTGCAGGCTGGAAGCTGTTGTCTGGATTCTCTGTGTTGTGTAGCTGCTCCCCCGCGGATCAGTGAGTAGAGAGAGGCAGGGAGATGCTGTAACTTCCTATCCCTGCCTCTCTCCTTACACAGTGACCCCTACTGGCCGGAGCTGGTATTGCAGAGTAATCTCCGTTTATACGGAGAAAAATACACGGCCAGGCAGCCTCCAATACCAGCTGTGCCTTAAAATACCAGTCAGGTGGTAAACCTAAGAGTAGTCTGTAAAAAAAAAAAAAGTAAAAAGCAATTATTTTTTTTTAATTTTTTTTTTACAATGGGCCTATTCCATGGGCCTGGGCCTGGGTCTGGAGCTGCAGCTCCATCAGCCCCTATGTTAATCCGGCCCTGATTGACCTACTAATCAACAGAGGCAGGCTGACTACTCTGTGCCTGCAAAAGGCTTATTTTAAAGAGAAGCTAATCTTTAAAACAGAAAGTTTGCTTCTTGAGCAGGAGCAAAATCTATATATATATATTTTTTTATTAAGAAGCCCTTGGAATTTGAGAGGGAAATTATTATTAAATAAAACCTCCTTTTATAAAAGGTTGAGTTTATTGGTCCATTTTTCAATGCATTTTGTTTAAATTGGTTACTTGACTTTAAGTGTGTGTGTGTGTGTGTGTGTATATATATTACGTATAAACAGCCGTTTCCAGGTTAGACAATGCCATAAAATACGTCCAGCAGGAGCAGACTACGTGTAAAAAATAAAAAATAAAAAATAAAAAAAAAATTAAAAATTAAAAAAAAATTAAAAAATTGTTTTTTTTAAAAATTAAAAAAAAAATTCCTCCTACTATGAAGGAAAAGGAGTCTTGACATTTTTTTAAACCAGGCCCGTTACTAAACAGAGTTTAGAATTGTTTCTTTTTAAAACCGGGTCAAGTAAAAAATTAACCCTCGTATCTCAAATAAATGTGAATATCTATATAACCTGGACTTGTGTTGAAGTTTTACTCTTTTTTTTAAGTTTGCCGAATACTTTTATTTCCTGGCTGCTTGATTGACAGCTGTTATGGTACAAGTTTAGAGTTGTGTGCTTTTAATTTACAAATTGCTGCAGATTTGCAATGGATCACTGCAGATATATTGCCTCTCCTCGTGTGAGGCCAATGAAGTATTGATTGTTACTGGTCTGTTTTGGAAATTTTTAAAAAATATATATTTTTTGGACATACAACTATTAAGTGATTTGTACTAGGTGGAGGATTTGTATGCATTTCCTCAATAATGCATTAAAATATGGTGGTTCGGGGGAGCAGGCGCTACTCCAAGTAGTATAATTCCTTTTAAAGTACAAGTTGATTTCTTATTATTCCAAGGGCATCTTATCTGCTTTGAACAATATTAAGTTTTTTTTAATGTTTAGTGGCTCTTTATTATTTATTAATTTCAGACTAGAACTACACATATTTCTCCTTTTTAGAAATATGCGATAATCCCTCATTTACAAATGTCCAGAAAGGTTGTGTTATTTTAATATTTTTCTGACTTTTCTCGAGAAAATACTAAAATTACATGGCCTCCCGGGGCTTTCACACAATTTTTTCCCCTTTGTTTTAGCATTTTTACTTTGGAAGCTGTTTGGTTGTTTTTACCCTATTTTGTTTACTAATACTTTCCTTAAATTTGTGTATTGCACTTTACATTGTGTAGAATTCCTTTCAGAAAACGCTTGTGCAAATAGCCAAACTGTGTATGCACTGTTGGCGAACAGTGTAAAGCTGTAACAAGGGACACTCCAATGCCCAAATATTTTTTTTTTAAATCACTGTTTAGTAGTTATTCCACCAATGAAAGCATGTATGCATTTAATTATGATTTATTTTTTTTTCATTGGGGTATACGTAATAACAGCTTGCAAAAATTTATTGCCTGCAGCCTTTCCAATCCCTCCCCTTCTAGATACGCCCAGAATTTCTGTGGCTGTCCAATCAGAGTTCCCAGTTCAGCTCAATGAGGAATCTTTGCAAGGCAGATGCAGGGCGGGTGTAACAAGATTCACTTATAAAAGTGCCAATTTCTGTTGAAATCTTTACGTTTTGTAAAAGAACAAAAAAAGGCAGACTTCGTGTTTTAGTGACTGGAGTGTCTCTTTAAAGTATGCATGCAGCATCCAAATGATTACATTGTAAGTTCTCTAGCCAGATAATACACATATGCAGGGTATATACACTATACCTGGCGTGACAAAAATTAACTCTTCCCCCCCGTTGTAGAATTACAACCCCAGTGCTGCTTTGCAAGTCTGGCCATCCCTGTGTTTTACCAAACTACAGCTGCCTGATGGTCTTGGTACCATTCATCTCTGGATGCTACAGACATCTCTGAAGAAGCTCTACTTTCCTGGATTTTGAATGTAAAATAATGGACGTTATCTCGGATTTTACTCAGGATATGAATATGTATCTGTGAATATATTTAGCCCTCTTATTGCCATAGGGTTTTGGCTGCATTTATTACTATACATCTAATCCTTTGAGATTTTACTAGGATGCTTTCAATGATCCAGCTTATTTTTTGTAATTGTTTTTTTTTTTCTTCTAATTGAAGATGTCACATTTCATAGGGCATGCTTGGCGACAACATATTTTATTAAATTCCCAATTAAATTCTAGGTCTCAAAGCTCTGTAACTAAAATGCAACTTGCTTCCAGTTATGCTTCTCAGTTGTACATTTCTCAAATAAAAAATGTTTCTATTAAAAAGTGTGCCAATCTATATGGGGGGAATGGTAAAAGGAGATAATCATGAAAAGGGTGTTGCATACTCCATTTTGAAATCTAGAAAAGGGGCATTGGCAGAATACTTTTAGGAGAGGATATCTTCTGCAGAGGTAGAAATAAAATAGTATGTGTTCTCTCTATCAGGGTGCATTGGTGCTTTTTGAAGGGCTCTGCCCAGTGTATCACTTAATTTGGAAAAGACAACAACCAGAACACATAGCAATTCCACAGAGTTCCAAATTAGCAAGCTATCTACTAAACTGCTCCCTAATCACATACCATGCAATATGGCAGTCCCACATAAGGATAACAAATTAGGGAATTGTATACTAAATAGGAGAACGATCAGATTTAAGAAAAGTCAATTTATGAATTTTGATCTTTCAGCTGTGTTTAGTAGATACCAAGTGCTTTGTGCAAATCAAGGAGCTTAATGTAACCAGTAAAGAAATCTAATATATGGCAGCTACAACGCATGTGCTAGTATCCTCACTCTTCAAACACTTACATGCAGAAAAAATGGGGTGAACCGAGTGATCCAAACCCACTCACGTAAACCTAGTGGAGCGCTAAATATAATTGAATTACCCTTAAACATTAGGGGAATACAGAGGAGGCTGTGGTATAGCCATACTTTACCAACACTGGTGTGGTTTGAGCCTATCCTTGTCAGGCTCTGCTCCATGAGTGTGAGTGTATCAATTACCTATCACAATTCAGCCTGTTCTTGGACTTTACGCTATTGTACATATCTTTCTTTCCTTTAGTATACTCTGTTAAGATCTGTATTGTTCCCCCTATTGTTTAAGGGCAAGTCAATTATATTAAACTCCCCACTAGGTTTACATGTGTGGGTTTGTATCACTCAGTTCAGCCCCTTTTTTCTGTGTTTAGTAGATAGCTCCCTAGTTTGTCACCCTTTTGTGGGAATGCCAATTTTAAGGGTTCAAAATTATGAAGCTTATCTGTTCAAAAGCGCCCTGATTTGATATCCATTCAAAAGCATTTTTTCAGAATTTCAGATGAACTGAAACTTCAAAATTAATTGGCCACATTTTTCACTCCAGCATATCTCTATATAATAGAGAGATATCGAAAGATTTGCTGAACACTTCCACTGCACTATGAAGGCTTGTCAGAAGTGGAGGGAACCTCAAGAACAAGCAGTGTTATGACACAGTTGAGCATTTTGTAGACAGAATGTATCCTCGAGCAGCAGAGCGTGAGTGATGCATTCCTTATCTTCAGAGATGTACATTGGAGTGATGTCCTACGTGTTAAATGGGGAAAAAAGGAACCTCGTGTCTACCTTTTATAGAAACAATAATCAAATGAAAAACTATGATAATTCAGCTACACACTTCGATGGACACCATTCACCACATGTCAAAACATATTAACAATTTTCAAGAAGTGGAGTGATGTTTAAGTGGAAAACTCCATACTTCATGCACAGATCAAATAACAATAAATATAATACTTATACTCCCAATAGATGGCAATCACAAAATCAGTGTTGTATAGTACATGTAAGAGAAAATTGAGAAATAGCAATAATAGTGCCGATCTGTATGGAATATTTACTGCACTTACAATAATTAAAATGTATTTAAATCCAATAGAATGGCTAATAAGCTAGTGATAAAGTAACAATTTGTTCAAACCCAAAGGTTAAAAGCAATACAGTTGAAATATAGTTAAAATATTGTAAAGCAAAATGCAAACAGGTTGCCACTTAGAAGATTAAATGGTGAGTATGCCAGTACATGTACCCGTTACTCACAACCACGCTCAATACAATGGGGGCTACCCATGTGGATCTGGACTCTCGGCGTCTTCCATCTGGTGGAGTTGTAATAATACCTGTGTGGATGCCGTTCGTCTTTCCCGGTGAAGCTCAGCTCCGCTCACCTGGATGCGTAATTGTCACGTCTATGCGTTTCGCCGTGCACAGACAGCTTCGTCAATACGTTTGAAGCTATTTCAGTCCTTACCCATAAGGGCTAATAAATGGGCAGATGTCCAATCTCTTATTGGTGAGATCTTAAAGCTTGGATTTGCATAATGCAATCTCTCCCAAGCTTTTAAAAGTCCCATGATTTAAAGTGACACTGCTTGCATAATGTTATCATATATTTACTAAACACAGTGAAATCTATATTTTAGTAGAACAAATGATCTATTAAGAACAAGTATCTTAAATTGAATAACAGATGTTCATACAGATGACAACTTTAGTCTGATTCAGACACCACATTTCATAAATAATAATCATACAGTTAAATAGTAAATTAAGACCTATTCATTTGATAAGGAAGAAAACAATAAAACATGGGTTTTTAGAATGTTCATAGTATTGATCTTATTATATATTCTATACATTGCAGAAAGAAAAAGTGATATTAAACATTAAAAAATAAACATATATCACCCCATTAAACCAAATGGGTGTCATAAAAAAATGTGTATATAGTGAGTTTAACACACCAAGGGGCATAACATATAGCAGGGTGCCACAGTAGCCAATATTCATAGAACAGTGAAAATAAAAATGATACTAAAAATAGGAATAAGATGAGGTGGATATTATAAATTTAAAATTAAGAATTTTAAATCTAAAAAAAAGGGGGTCGATCTAATTTTCAAAATGACAAATTTCAAAATCATTATTTAATCCTTTGGGAATGTGTGTATTCAATTCAAACATCCACCTCATCTCTGTACAGCCCAAATGTTGCATAAAATTGCCTCCTCTTATTAACCTGTTGAATACTACATTATGATTTGTACTTTGCTGGTAACAGTGCTGGGTAAATAATAGATATTTGGCCTTCGTATCGTAGACCTGTGGCACACATATGTTCAATAATGAAAAAAAATCTGAATATGGGATATTCTCAGCTTCTTGAAGTGAGGCAAAAGTAAGAGCATTGTTATCGTTAGATTACCAACAGTCTCTTTATTGTGAGCTGCCCACCAAGAGAATGTTTCTCTCCCCGATGGAAACCGAGGATTTATATAGGAGTATGTGGAGAGTTATGTGCCTTATAGACTGTAAGTTATAGACTGTAAGCTCCTTTGAGCAGGGTCCTCTTCAACCTATCGTTTCAGTAAGTTTTCTTGTAATTGTCCTATTTATAGTTAAATCCCCCCTCTTATAATATTGCAAAGTGCTACGGAATCTGTTGGCGCTATATAAATGGCAATAACAATAATTGAATACCATCTTGTGAGTGTTCTACCTTCCCCCGCCCCCTTTCTTGATTATTTGTAGCTGTATTTGTAGCTGTATTACACTATTTTGTGAATATTTTTATTTTTTCAATTTTTATTATTTATTACCAGCTTGTATTCCACACCTATTGTTATATATAATTTAATATGTTATTATTTTCTTTTTTATATACATTTGGGTGTGTGTGTTTTAATTTATAGAGTTTCTCCTTTTTGTTATACATTTTTGTATACTTTTGGGTATTTATATGTGTATTATATTTGTTTGTGTGTCAAGCTGGTGGGGACATGTGACCCATTGTGACTGCTCACTGTGACATCATTGTGACATCATGTAACATCACCCTTTATGCTCACAGTTTGCAGCTGTCACTGGACACGGCTTGGACAGTAGACACTGCTTAGCTTTTGTGGTGAGCAAATTGCTAGAGATGGCAAATAAAAATGTTTTCTCGTGGATTCGGCGTTTGCCCTTTCGAAAGGTAAGTAAATGACTTGTTTTCTTTAAGGTTCCAATTAACCAAACCATTAACTGGGGTTTGTAACATGTTAACTCCAAGTTTGTGGGTGGGTCCATATTTAAATTAATAACATGTATCACTAGAGGGGTAGAAGCAAATCATTATTGTATTCTTATCTCAATGGAGTTAAATGCTTAACTAATTTTTCTATATTAAAATCCCCATGTTACAGCAATTTGCAATAATGTTGCAGCTACAAGCCCATCGTTTCACTCACATCCAATTCTGGGAGTTGTTTGTCCTTGTTCATACAACTAGTTGTATATGTATCAGAATTAGAACTCAATAAGTGGTTTACATACACTAAGGTTTAGACATATATTAATTATCGAGGAAATTCAATACATTAAAATACCACAAGACAGTGGCAGCCCAAGATACTAAACAGGAAATGGTAAATGGAAAACTAAACCCGAAAGTCAATTAAAATTGATGATTTCAAAATTCTCCAACTGGACTGTAACGACAGCTTAACTATTTTACCTTCAATTTTGCCATTTGGGTTTCAATGTACTAGAATTCAGTGTTCAGTGGATGAAGCCAAGTTACTCAATAGATTGGAAATCTATATAAAACATTTCCCATACTAGTTACATACAAGGTCAATGCAAGTTTTTTTACTACTCTAGGCAAAACAACATTTTGCTGACCCCCGCCCCCCACCACGCCAATATGCTACGTCCATGGTATGACATCACACTGACCATAGCGCAATATGCGCCGCCTGTGGTGTATTTAAAAGAAACACTTTTATAAACGATCACAAATGTAACAGGCTTCATACAGCAAGCAGAGGTGCTTTAAGTTTTCTGGAGTTTTCCTTTAAAGGGCCACTCCAAACACCATAACCACTACTGCTAACTACCATTAATGAATTGTCAGCTGCTACTCTCAGCCAATCTCTGCCGTCTCCTTACTGGCTGTACCAATACTACTGCATTAGCCGAAGAGAAGAGAAGAGGGAGAGAACGGTTACTGATGGCACATATTTAGTGTTAAATTATTTACAAACAATTTAACACTTAAATATAAGGCTGTTCCAGGGACTCCAGGCACTATAACAACTTCAATGCGATTTAAGTAAACCCATACCTTTAGGTTGTTTGTAGTAGTTTATTGCTGGGCCCTGTGGCAGCAACGAGATGGACTGTAAAAACTTTGGTTAGTTAGAGCATTTTTATTTGAATTTATTTGGGTTTCTAATAGTTTTTGCCATTTCAGGGCGCCAGACGCAAAAAATGTGATGACACTGAGCAGAAAGGAGAGGACCCTTCGGGTATGTTAAAACATTGTGTGTGTGGCTGTTATATCTATCTTTGGGAAGCCTAGTAACAATTCTCCTAGCAAGACATTCCTTCTTCTATAACTTTAATAATAGGTTTCTGTTCATTTTTTACCAGGAAGGACACATTCAGATTTCTCTGGTTTGATTGCTTCCTGCAGAGTTTGTACAAAATATACAATGTTGACATTTCTGGGACATTAGATTGCAGAGTTAATATTTTGGGGAAGGTAGATCCATTTGTATATATTCAGACGTCGTTTCCATCTTGTGAGTCTCTTCTAACCCCCTTACTCCTTGTATCCCCCCACCCATAATGCACTACTGTCTTAGTCCAGAAAAGATCTGGAATGTTCCCATTCTTTTTAATGACAATGCTAAGCATATCCCATAAACTCAGCAGGTGTATGTAGTTCAGCACTTGGCAGTAGTTTCATTCACTAATAGTCATGAAGAAACTGTTTATTGAGCTGCGTACTCCATTGATGTTTATAACTCAATGGAACCAGTGGTTGCCTCTCATTTGTAAACATAACAAATGCTCCCCCCAAGAAATGTAATTTAAGTGCATTTCAATATCAATATTTATATATTGCTATCAAAATTTATGTAAAATTAAATTACATATATATAAAGTATATATTTACGTATTATTTTTACATAATAATGTGATTTTATTGATTATAAATTGGGGGACCTGCCTGACAACCCAGGCAGAAAGTCCAGTGAATTCAATTTACAAGCCCTATATTTAACCTTGTAACTTTCCAAAACACCGTAAAACCTGGACATGGGGGCTACTGTTGTACTTGTGAGACTTGGCTGAAAACAAATACGTATGTTTTAAAAGAGTAAATCATTTAATGACGATGATATCATCAGTGAAAATGCAGCTTTTCTGTGACAAATGCAAATGTTTGGACAGGGTTTGTGACTAAGTGGCTCCTAAAAGATTAGATTTACCCCATTTGCAAAACCCTGGGTTGTCTACGTTTGCAAATGGTTTGCCATGATGGGGGTAATTCTCATTCCTGGCCTGCCATACTGCCTTAAAGGCAACTAAACCAACAAATTTCAAGGTGCAAAAACTGCAAAGGGGGAAGTACTATATGTAACCCTGTAACTTTCCAAAAATCCATAAAACCTGTATATGGCTAAACATAAATATGTGCATTTTATTGCACTAAAAGTTAACAGTATTATGACATTTAAAGGTAAATGCCACAGAGAACTTTTTAATTTCTCAAACTTTTTATTTTATTTTATTCATATTAAATTATGTTTCATACATAAATAGTTTATTTTTGTGAAATGAAAACCCTCTTTCTCTTGAACAAAATTGTATGTAATACGTGTGGGTGCACTTAATATGAAAGAGGTAAGCTATGGTTAAACAATATATATCTCAAATTCAAGGTTTTGTTTTGAACAGAACTTGGATAACTTCCTCCATCCTTAAGGGCTTAAAAGATATAGGACAAGGCAGGGAATAATATTATGTTGTAGTTATAATTATCAGAAGACAAAAGCAGGGATAGGGAAACTTTGGGCACCAAAACATTTGAGAGCACATAACATATTATGGTACATGAAGTGTCTGAATAAAAGTGTATGTATTAAAAGATCCTATAATTTGTCATGTTGCCTTACTTGTATTGTGTGATATTTCAAACCAGTGAATGAACAATATTGTCTGTCTACATTGTGATTTGACTACTGTCTTTTTTATTATTATTTATAGAGTGTCCAATTACTCCAAACTCTCCTAAAATTGCCAAGGGCTCAGCTGTAAATGGTAGTTTTTCCTCAATCGATCTGAACTCTCCTAAACGTATCGTATTGGCAGCTAATACCGAGTCATCAAAGGACATCCCTAAACATGTAGCTCAACCGGATATTGATAAAGTTAGGGAGCAGATCAAACAGGAAATTAGAAAAGAACTTAAAATTACAGCAGGAGCCAGAAACATGGTAAAGGCTACAACCAAGAAAAAACATCTTGCAAAAGTCAACAAGTTTCTCAAAACATCACAAAAAAAACTGGATGACCTTTACATTAAACTTCAGGAGCGCAATGCGCATATTGTTGTGCCAGACGCAGAAGGTACATTCCAAGACTTTGTGTTTCCTTGTAATGAGTGTGTGTATGTGCTTGTTTATTGTAAATATATTTCAATCATTTCCTGGAGAACATGGATAAATACTATGTTACGCATCCAACATGTAAATGTAACCTACAGATATATAGAGGAACGTTAGCAGTACTGTTTTTCTTTTTCTTTTTCATTTTATAATCAGGTGGATGTTTTAGAGACTTCAAACAGCAAATCGTAACTTTGGATCAGTTACTGCACTCGTGATGTGCTGTATGAGATTGTAGACTGACTTATAGAAAAGATCACTTACTGAGCATCAGATCAGCCACATTATACAGCGTGAAAACGTGCAGAATAAAATAAATACTGGCTGAGGAAAGCTTAGCCTTGTTAGTTTTACAGAAACATAAAACAAAAATTTGCAGCTTCTCCAGCGAGCTCTGTTTAGATGGGAAATCTCTCACCCAAACCTGGTAATTGCATTATTCCCTATGAGAGCCTATATGGGGGGGGGTTGTGAAAACACACAGAGTTACAATGTGGCTTATAGAATGACCCCAATTATGTCGTGACTGGCTATAATAATGGCAATCTCACTGACATATATAGAAGCTGGAATAGTTAGTGGATGAGTTTATGACGTGACACCTCAAAGAGAATACTGTTCATACCGTCCCGTTATGATGTCATCAAGCACAGGGACGTTTAGCTGCAGTGATTTTTGTTGTTTTTGTTGATTTTCTGCTGCTCTCAGGTTTTGTGTAGATTACAATATCTTTACTTACAGATGTTACTGTTATTGCCTTTTTTATTTATTAAGTGAAACTGTCTGCCGACATTTCTAAATTCTGTATTTTTTTTTTCTTGTTACTAATTTCCGTGATGTCCAGAGATCTCAGCTGCTCTTAAAGATGACACCAGCTCCCAGGCAGATAACGTGAAGCTGACTGCTTTGCAGAAACAGCTAAGCATTGAGCTGAAGGTGAAACATGGAGCAGAGATAATGGTCGGTGCATATTCAAATGGGTATTCCAAAGTAAGTTGGTTATATTTAAATAAGAGACAGAAAAAATTCTTTAAACTTTTTTTTTTTGGTGTGGGAGTGGTGGAAACACATTGTACAATGCATAATTTTTTTCAGCCCAACAGCATTTTATCTGATTTAAGCTAATAGTATGTTGGTGATATTTGTTCATGGAATCAAGAGATGCGATAGAAACTACATTTCCATGAGTTTGCCGACACCATCTCAACTATTTAGTTGAAGGCACAAGCTTTTCTTGATCGGCCATTAATTATTTTTAATATTTCTAATTGCAAAGCATGCAACCAATGTGTATTTAATTTTCTATGTAAAGATTATAATGTGTATCTTGTTCCATAATGCATGTGTCTATAATTTAGTTTGCCTGCACAGAAGCACTGTGGTGTTTGACATCTGGGTGAAAATCATTGTTTAAGGGGTAATAATTAGATCAAAACATAGTCCATGTCTGTCCTGGGGTGTGAGCAGTCAGGGCTTATTTCCTAGAATAGGGTAATTGAGGCTACACTTCTTCATACATCTCACTCAATTATCTGACTATTCTTATTGCTGTTACAGAATGTCAAACATCTTACTGCTGTCCAGAAAATACTACAAGACAGCGAGAACAAAATAGACAGTTTACGCAACTTAATTCTGGAAGAAACATCTATCATTAAAGGTAAAGGTTCAGTAACCTCATATGTAGTTTAAAAGAAGATTTATGGGTAACAATGAAAACTGTTCAAAAACGGTTTGACTACTTATAATGGGATCCAGGGCACTCCTGGCACCATAACCACTACTGCAAGATATAACTCTCTTACAGGAAGGTATGAGAGAGCGGTGTATATCCCGTAGACCTCTATACTCCAAGGGTTTGTGAGGAAATGTACAGATTATTATTAATGTTATTATATGTATAGCACCAGGAAATTCTGCAGCGCTTTACAGTGGGTGGACTAACAAACATGTAATTGTAACCAGACAAGTTGGACACACAGCTACAGAGGGGTTGAGGGCTCTGTACGATGAGCTTACATTCTAGAGGGAGTGGGGTAAAGTGACACAAAAGCTAAAGGAAGTAATGACAGTTGCAGGAGAGGAATCAGTCGGGAGCTACTAACAGTTTAACTGATATGCTTTTGTGAAGAAGTGGGCTTTTAATGATTTTTTTGAAGGAGTGGAGACTGGGTGTGCGTCTAACGGAGAAGGGATGGGAGTTCCACAGGAACAGTGTAGCCCTAGAAAAGTCTTGAAGGTGAGCATCAGAGGTGGGTGTACGGACTGAAGATAGACGTCCTCTTAGAACTGGGAGCAAAGGGAGTTATACCAACACGTAAATACATTTTATATTATTTACAAAACATATATCTTAGACATCTGTACATGAGCCGGTTAAAGCATTGGGAATGTTACTGCCTTAGAACTGGGAGACCAAGGTTTGAATCCTGGTTTAGACCTTGCCAGTAAGTGTCTGTGGGTAGGATTAATTACTGAATGGATGTACGTTGAGCAGAAAATTCATCAAACCTAAATATCCCCTTTCTATAATTGTAAACCACTGCAGAATATGTTGGCGCTATATAAGGGATAATAGTAATATCCTGAAATAATTTGCAAAACATTTTACAAGATAAATTCTTGTTAGTCAGTCCCTTTAAAAAATAGCTTTTATATCAAATAGTTCACTGAGAGATATTAAAACTTACATATTAAGGTGGCGATCAAAGCCTGACGTAGTGTAAATCAAACATACATTCTGCTGGGTGCTTTAAGCCATTTATATCAAATCAAGATCAGTGACCAGAATATTGTCAGAGAAACTAATGACAGACACCTACCTGCATCTGGAAAAATTCAGAAATCTATGTTCACCTAGAAACAAACAGATGGAAAACACACTTCCTGAGTCTCATGCCAACACACCAGTCGGGATGGTCATCAATGCAGACATGAGAGGGACTTGCAGGTGCTCCTCCAAGGGAACAAATGTGTAAAATTCCAAATAGTGACCTTTGGGTTGATAGGTTCTGGGAGCATAATGTCTTCTTTAAGGACATATCAAAGCTTCTGAATATAAAGAGCATTAAAATATATAGAGATATAATGAACATTCTAAAAACAAGGCAGCTCTATGATTAACATGACGTCATATGAAAGAAAACCACCTATGGTCCTTTAAATGGACAATTCTTAATTGTTCTCCGATGAGAGCTGAATTACTGCAATAGTCTCCTTCGAGAAAGGCAACTTCAAATGTGCCCAGCACTGTGAATTTATTCGCTAAGCATTGTGGAATATCATATTCCAAATGTTGACAGGCAGGTGATGCATGCGCATCAATTCTAACAGCCATCCTGCAGGAGGTGCATGCTTCATTTCAGCTATACGGTATATAAACAGGATATATATCTATTGAACATTTATTGTGTCCCCTCCAATACTACTGACATTATTAGTTTATACATATATGAGTTATACATGATATTATGGGTTTACATATAAGCATTATTAGTGTTTGAAAAACTAATTGATTCTTCTATAAAATTAAATATCATAAAGATCTATGATTGGAGATTGTGGTTCTTGTTTTATTCTCTTTAGAATTGAGGTGAAAATAATTGTAGTATCATTGATCACTGTGAATGATATACAATACTTACATTATGTTATGTCTAAACCTTTACAGAAGAAACATCGTTACCAGTTCCGGAGACGGACATTAATATTCTTGCCCCTTCGTTATTGGTGACAGACGTACAGGAGCCAGAGCCGGCTGGGTATTCACTTTATATCTTTCTAATCAATGTTGTTAGAACCTGAAGCCCTCCTAGTTCACAGTACTATACATGTTGAATTATCTATAAGTCCGACATATGTTTGCCTACTGCTGTCTACACATTTCTTAGCATGTGTATCAGTCACAGATTCATTTATAATGCTGTCTACATGTTGCATACTTGTGACAAGTAGCCAGATCTCCTTCTCTTTGCAGGACTCTGTGAATTCTGCAGTCTGCCAGGCAGGGTGTGAAAGTACTTTGGATGTCACACAGGAATGCAGAACTCTATACGGTGCAAAAACATAGAAATCTGCAACCCTAGTTATATGTATTATTGGGGTGTCCTTTAAATAATGCACTGTATATAGCAGCATCAATGTCTAAAATATAATGAGTATATAGATCTGATAATCTGCCATAATATTTTAACGATTAAACCAGATAAACTATTATTGTCTTCCTTCTGATAGCGATATTCCAAACTTTGATATGAAACCAATTAGCCCACCGGATGTGGAGTTTGACTCAGAGCCACCTCCTGCTCCAAGTCAATCATTTCTACACAGTGATCAGAGTTGGTTTTCATTCCATATTGAGATCCCGGACATACTGGCTCAGGTAAAGATGTGCTCACTTTATTTTGGTTGTTTTTAATCCTTAAACTTAAGTGTATACTCTGCGTAGAATAACCATTACAGCTTAGTGCAGTAGTTCCAATGCAGAGAGTCTGTGGCTACTAACCCACTTTTTTGTCAAACCATTTGGGAGCATTTTGACACTGGACTTTGGCTAGCATCCAGTGACTGCACCCCTCGCCACAGGGATAATGTGGAATTTACATTTTTGCGCTATAAATGTTATGTCCAACCGGGACAGCTGTGGGGTTATCCTGAATTGTCAGCCAATCAATGCCATCCAGGTTGCATAAAATTGCTATTGATACAAAAATGTTAATTGATCACTATCAGTATGGCTGAAGAGGGGGGAAGTATCCAGGTATTTGGGAGAATCTAATTGGTTTGACATTAAACCATGGATAGAACCAGGACACTCTAATTAATGTAACTACTACAGTGAGCTAGAATGGTTATGGTGCTTACAATTTCCTTTTAATCATTATTTTCTCACATTCACTGCTTCTCTCTCCACTCCCAGCAAACCTAGCTTCCCTTAGTTTTCTCTACCATTTTATTGAGTCTGACTTTCTTTTCTAGAATTCTGGAGATATCTATGAATGTAGCATTGATAACAGATACATCATGACACCAGATGAAATGAGTCAGCCTAATTGTTCCAGTCTGGATAATAGCGTTCCTGAAAATTCTGAGAACCTACCACATGACCACTTACCTGCTATGTGGACTCAAGATCAACTTCTTCTCAAATTGCAGGACATCCAGCATTGCTCTATGCTGGAGGAGGGACAATCTGTAAAAGTAAGTTTAAGGTGGAATTCCAGTTCTAGTTCGATATAACAGATATCTTAACAAATGTAGGACAGCACAACACAATCAATGCCATCAGGTTGTATAAAATTGGTATTGAAGAGAAATGGTAATTCCTCACTATTTTACAACAAACTAGAAAAGAAAATGGCAGTCATATCTCCTAAGATCAGGGAGCTATTTCCTTATCCGTATATTTAACATGTGATTGTGAGATGTGAACAATAACATTAAACATAGAATTTCAGTCTTTTATTCAGTGGCGCCAGTTCTGAGAAATGACAATAAAACCCAACATTAATGTGTCTGACTTTCTTTTCTAGGATTCTGGAGATTGCTATGAATGTAGCATTGATAACAGATTCATCATGACACCAAATGAAATGAGTCACCCTAATTGTTCCAGTCTGGATAATAGTGTTCCTGAACATTCTGAGGACCTACCACAAGACCACTTACCTGCTATGTTGATCCAGGATCAGCTTCTTCTCAAATTGCAGGACATCCAGCAACGCTCTGTGCAATCTGTGAAAGTAAGTTTAAGGTGGAATTTCAGTTCTAGTTTGATATAACAGATGTCATAACAAATGTAGGACAGCACAACACAATGAATGCCATCAGGTTGCATAAAATTGGTATTGATACAGAAATGTTACTTCCTCACTATCAGTATGACTGAGGAGGGGGGAGGTATCTGGGAACTTGGAAGAATCGAATTGGTTTGACATTAAACCAGGGATAGCACCAGGACACTCTAATAGTAATTAATGTAACTACTACAACAAACTAGACTGGTTATGGTGCTTACAGTTCCCTTTTAATCATTATTTTCCCAAATTCACTACTTCTCTCTCCAGTGGCGTACACACAATCCATGGGGCCCTGGTGCAAAACTGACCCTGCCCCCACCACCACCCCACCCCACCCACCACCCCATTCCCCCCGCTGCCACCCCATACAGACACTCACAGAGATACACACATACGTACTGACACATACATTCACATACATAGACTAACATGCAGACACACAGACACATACGTAGACACACACACACACACAAATACATAGACACACAGAAACACACACACAGACACATACATAGACATACACAGACACATGCATAGACAGACACATACATACAGAGACACACATACACACACAGACTCACAGACACATACATACAGTCACACACACATACATACAGACACATACAGAGACACACATACAAACATACATACAGACACATACACAGAGACACACACACACGTGCAAAATATTTTAGTCACCCTCCTATTACCTACCGTTTAGGTGCAGGAGGGTGACTTCCCTGGGGTCCAGTGGTCAGATTGATGGGAGTCAGACTTCCCACTCTGACTCCCTCTGCTTTCTCCAGCACGGCTCCTGGTGGTTGCTGGGAGGAGTGACTGCGGAAGTCACTTCCTCCCAGCGTCTGACATCATCAAAGTGGGCCCGGTCGCGCTTTTACCAGGCCCACTCTGATGATGATATTCATTTCCATCGGGTTTCCTTAACAGCATGGGCCACCCAATGGGCCCCTTCACCTGTGGCCCGGGTAAGTATACTGCTCGGTCGGGGCCACAACACATGGCAGCAGGCACGCGGTATGTACGCAGCTGTCTCTCTCCACTCCCAGTAAACCTAGCTTCCTTTAGTTTTCTCTACAATTTTATTGTGTCTGACTTTCTTTTCTAGGATTCTGGAGATAGCTATGACTGTAGCATTGATAACAGATACATCATGACACCAGATGAAATGAGTCACCCTAATTGTTCCAGTCTGGATAATAGCGTTCCTGAAAATCCTGACAACCTACCACATGATCACTTACCTGCTATGTGGATTCAAGATCAGCTTCTTCTCAAATTGCAGGACATCCAGCATAGCTCTATGCTGGAGGAGGGACAATCTGTGAAAGTAAGTGTATGACGGTATTCCAGTTCTAGTTCGAAATACCAGGTGTCTTAATAAATGTAGGACAGCACAACACAATCAATGCTATACAGGTTGTATAAAATTGGTATTATTACAGAAATGGTAATTACTCATTATTTTGTAACAAACAATAAAAAAATCCCAAAATGGCAGTCAGATATCTCATTGGATCAAGAAGCTTTTTCTTTATCCATATATTTAACATGTGTTTGTGAGATGTGAACAATAAAATTACATGTAGAAATTCACACCTCTTTATCCTGTAACCGGACATCTCCATCTTAGCTCCCTGTCAATCATTGTTAAAAGCTTCACCCTTTGTATCTGCAGTCAGCACAGAGAGAGCATCCAGAGAGGAGGAGAAAGGAAACAATGTTTCTATATCTCCTCTTCATTTGCATTGTGTGCCCTGGCTGTGCCAGAACAAAACAAAAAAGAAAACAGAGCATCTCATGAAAAATGTTACAATTTAGGTGATTTTCTGTAGTTATTTTAAATGGCGCACTTTAGAGAGAAGTGACAATAAATCCCGACGTTAATTGTGTCTGACTTTCTTTTCTAGGATTCTGGAGATAGCTATGACTGTAGCAGTGATAACAGATTCATCGTGACACCAGATGAAATGAGTCACCCTAATTGTTCCAGTCTGGATAATAGCGTTCCTGAAAATCCTGAGGACCTACCGCAAGATCACTTACCTGCTATGTGGATTCAACATCAGCTTTTTCTCAAATTCCAGGACTTCCAGTATCGCTCTGTGCAATCTGTGAAAGTAAGTTTAAGGTGGAATCACAGTTATAGTTTGATATAACAGATGTCTTAACAAATGTAGGACAGCACAACACAATCAATGCCATCAGGTTGTATAAAATTGGTATGGATATAGCAATGTTAATTCTTCACTATCAATATGGCAGAGGAGGGAGGAGGTATCCAGGTACTTGGAAGAATCTAATTGGTTTGACATTAAACGAGGGATAGCACCAGGACACTCTAATAGTAATTAATGTAACTACTACAGTGAGCTATAATGGTTATCGTGCTTACAGTTCTCTTTTAATCATTATTTTCCCAAATTCACTTCTTCTCTCTCCGCTCCCAGCAAACCTAGCTTCCTTTAGTTTTCTTTACAATTTTATTGTGTCTGACTTTCTTTTCTAGAATTCTGGAGATATCTATGAATGTAGCAGTGATAACAGATACATCATGACACCAGCTGAAATGAGTCACCCTAATTGTTCTAGCCTGAATAATAGCGTTCCTGAAAATTTCGAGGACCTACCACATGACCACTTACCTGCTATGTGGATTCAGGATCAGCTTCTCAGAATGCAGGACTTCCAGTATTGCTCTGTGCAATCTGTGAAAGTAAGTTTAAGGTGGAATTCCAGTTCTAGTTCGATATAACAGATATCTTAAAAAATGTAGGACAGCACAACACAATCAATGCCATCAGGTTGTATAAAATTGATATTGATACAGAAATGGTAATTCATTGGTATCAGTATGACTGAGGAGGGGGAAAAAAAACAGGTATTTGGAAGAATCTAATTGGTTAAACATTAAACCAGGGAGAACGGCAGGACACTCTAGTCACTATAACCACTACAGCGAGCTAAAATGGTTATGGTGCTTACAGTTCCCTTTTAATCATTATTTTCCCACATTCACTGCTTCTCTCTTCACTCTCAGCAAACCTAGCTTCCTTTTCACTACCCCGTGCTTCCTTTCCTTTATTGATCAATATGTTTCAGACTCAATCGTACAAACCCCCAACACCGTGGGTGAGCTTTCTAGTTGAGATTATGGCTGCTATCCCTTTATAAAAGGAGAGCGGGTTATGGCCTTCACAGTTTGCTCCATACATAGTTTCTGCTGCCTTGTCAAATTAAAATAAACACACATTTTTAAAAAATGAAAAGAATCATATAAAAATGATAGAAAGTATGAAATGTATACGATAATTTGCATTTCTTGATCAATTGAGTTGCTGAATTCTGGGTTTAGTAAATAAATCAGAGCGTTTGATGGTTTATCAAAGGGTAACAATCACTTCCCAGGACGTTTAATATTATATTTACTTATCCCTAAATTCAACGACTATCTGTTTGTGAGATGTGAACGATAAAATTAAACGTAGAAATCCACACCTCTTTATACTGTAACTGGGCGCCTCCATCTTAGCTCCCTGTCAGTCATCGTTAAAAGCTCCGCCCTTTGCATCTGACCGTCAGCACAGAGCGATCATACAGAAAGGAGGAGAAATGAAACAATGTTTCTATATGTCCTCTTCATTTGCATTGTGTGCCCTGGCTGTGCCAGAACTAAACAAAAAGAAAACAGAACATCTCATGAGAAACTGTTAACATGTATGTGATTTTCAATTTTTTATTCAATGGCGCACTTTCCAGAGAAGTGACGATAAAACCCTTTTATCGTGTCTGACTTTCTTTTCTAGGATTCTGGAGGTAGCTATGGATGTAGCATTGATAGCAGATTCATCATGACACCAGATGAAATGAGTGAACCTAATTGTTCCAGTCTGGATAATAGTGTTTCTGAAAATTCTGAAGACCTATCACATGACTACTTACCTGCTGTGTGTACTCAGGGTCGGCCTACTCTCAGAATGCAAGACTTCCAGCTTTGCTCTGTGCTGGGTAAAGGGCAATTTGGGAAAGTAAGTTTATGGTGGAATTCGAGTTCTAGTTCGATATAACAGATGTCTTAAATTCAGGATAGCACAACACTTTATTCTTTCATTTCAGGTTCTGCTGGCCGAGCACAAGGAAACAACCAACATGTACGCCCTGAAATTCATAAAAAAAGTAAACTTAGAATCACCACATCAGTTCAACAAGTCAGTGAATGCAGTAATAAATATCTTGTGTTTGTGAAGAGGACCATGTCCTGTTTCTGTGGGGGGTTTTTTCATTTGATTTTAGAGTCAAAGAAAATAAACTTTTATTTTCCTTTCCAGCCTTCTGAGTGAAAAGCGGATATTCCAGACAGTGAGCAATAGGCGGCACCCATTCCTTATGAACTTGTTTGGGTGTTTCCACACCCGAGATCACGCCTGCTTTGTTATGGAGTATGCAGCAGGGGGCGACCTTCTTACATGCCTTGATAACAACCATGGCCCATTTCCAGAACCCAGAGCAGTGTGAGTATAAGCAGCATTCTGTCCATTTATCGATATCTCATCCAATGTTCTACAGATGGTGGCTTGAGCTGGGCTACACCTTCCATAACATCTTGTCAGATTATGAATTAATTCTGGGATATCACACTTTGTTTAAATTCTGTGTTTATTTAGTTTAGAATGACTTTAAACTGTATAACTTTATATCCTAGAATGACTTTAAACTGTATAACTTTATATCCTATGAGCTGCTGTATATATCTTTACCATTATGTGTCAATGCTGGATCAGAGCAGTTACTTCTGACCACATACACCGCTGTCTGCACCAACTATGTCTAATGACTCTGCAAGTATCGGCATTGGTGAATTGAACCTGCTGTAAGTGATAAACAACCAATCACCATTGTATCAGCTCATACATAACACACTAGCAGTGAAAGACATGAGGAAACCTGGGAATTAATGTACTCTGTCAGAATACAGAGTTGGATATATGGAATAAAACCATTTAATCGTGCAAACACTGTATCTTCTAGAAAGCCATTCATTTATTTATTTTCCCCCAGATTTTATTCTGCATGTGTCGTCCTTGGACTTGAGTATTTACACGAACAAAACATCGTCCACAGGTAAGCCTATAAAAAAACAAAACGACACGTTATTTAAGTGTTATTTATAGCACACAGTCTGTCTAACCCAGTTTAATTATCTAGATTAAGTTATTAATTTTAACCAATTAAAAACCCTGAACAATGAGAGCTATTCTAAGTGCTTCTAGTGTTATGTAAAATGAATAAAACTTCCTTTTCTACATTTTAATCTAGAGATCTGAAGCTTGAAAACATTGTTCTGGATGAGAGAGGATTTGCGAAGATTACTGACTATGGTCTCTCTAAAGAAGGTAAATAGAATGCTCTAATATAATTTTAGATACAAAAAGGTCACACTTACTAAGTTCAAATCAGTTATCTTTCATTTAAACAGCCATTTAACATATAATAGGATGTCTATAAAAGGTATGCTTAATTCCAAAACTGACATAAAGGAACTTTATAACATTAAAAATAAGAGCATTTATTTTAAATGTAAATTATTCCTAAGTGGGCCTCCCGTTTCTTTTCCAGCAATTTTTTATGAATGGGCAGTGACTGATTGCTGAGAGCGTCAGCTGACCGCTCCCAGACAATCAGCAGTCCCCCTGCCCAGTGGCACTCCGTGCTTCTTAAAACTGTAATTTCAGAAGCCGGATGCCGCCTGAGGGAAGTAGTGATTGGAGATGGAGGCTCACTTTGAGATTAAACAGTTCAAGAATGGTTTGACCACTTGAGATAGGCGTGCGCCCTGGAGGCCTCCTGGCACCATAACAACTTCAACTACGTTTTTATGGTGCCCGGAGTGTAAGTGTATAAAGTACTTCTGTTTTTTTTTTGTTTTTTTATCAAACTATATTTAAGTATTTTCCTGATAGTCAGACCCAGCCACGGTGCTGCCACTGCGATAATTGAAATTTTCGGATGGAAATGATATGAGAAGTTGCGGCAGCAACAAACTTAAAGAAAGTCATATCCAAATGTAAATTGCTCAAATTGAACATCTATCCTCAACTTATATACAATTCTATTTTCACTATTTCTGAGGAATTGGATACGGAGATAGAACAAACAGCATTTGTGGAACTCCTAATTATCTGGCTCCTGAAATGGCCAAGCGCAAGACATATACAAGATCTGTGGACTGGTGGAGCTTCGGAGTAGTTATTTATGTAATGTTAACTGGAAACGTAAGAACAATCTTTCATTAAGAATTTATAGTCAGATTTCTGTTTAGAAAATATAAAGAGATTCTGCCAAGTATTTGCTTTTAACATGACAGCAATCTTTATTAAAAAGTTGCTCTATTTATTTTTGGTTTTGTTTTATTACTTTTTGTTGGCCTCCCCTCTTCCAATAATTCCTCTCTCTCCAACATTCACACCCACATTTGTATACAAACGTATCTCACCCCAAAACAGACACCCCCAATTAATTAACTCCTCCCTTCCAAACACAGACCCCACATTCCCTGACCGTTATTTTTGCACTCGTTTACCTGTCATTTTCCTTCAACTATTATATTCCAACATTTCTTTACAATGAACCCATCCTTATCCAAATCACATCTCAAATTAACCCCTCCCCATAATAGATCCAGACAGCTTCAATACCCTGTAATTAACCCCTGACCCTTGGTTCCCAAATCTAAATCTTTTACCAATGAATTATCTCCATCTTCTGCTCTGCCCCTGGTCCAGTTACTTAGTGCTCTGGTGGCTGACAATGTGTGCGTACATCGTGTGTAACCCTCTGTATACCACTTCTTTGTGAATACCTATACGGTCAGAAGATGTTTAGTAGTTCTGACTCTAATAAACATCCCACCTACTAACTTGCTTAAATGTTTTGTATTTAACTTTTTTTGTCTCCTGACAAAAAGAAAAAAGCCATCGTAATCCAATGTTACTGTACAAAATAAAACAAATAATACTAGATGACAATTTAAAAAGTAAATAAATAAAAACACCAGGAGAAAATTAATTATACAATAGACCATGGGTGCCAAAAAGGTAGATCTTCCATGATGCTTTTTCATTGTAAAGGTATGCAAAGCATCATGGGAGTTGTTGTTAGAGAGCATCTGGGGATCTACCTTCTAGGCACCCCCTGATATAGACCTTCCAGTCCTTTATCTCAGAGCTCAAAAATTGATATTCCCTGCGGTCTTGAAAATCGCTCAGCGTTTTGAAAATTCCAGCCAATCACAGTGCATCTCCGGACGCGTTTCTCTCCCCTGCGGTACGCCTGATGATGTATTTCACGACAGCGTTCAGTTATCTTTCACATATTATATACACTCGCACACACATGGTTGTTGAGTTGTGATATACACATTGTGTCATCTGTACTACGAAGATTATAAAACCCTAACTATTAATTTATTGCTCAGCTTTCAGCTACTACAATTTACAACTTATTCAAACCTTAACTGAGGTTTTTTTAAATGTAATTTTTCTCTAGTTACCCTCCGAAGGCCGTGATGTTGAGACGCTTTATGCTAAAATTGCCAAATGTAAACTAAAAATTCCAGAGTCATTGTCTAGTGAAGCCACTTCAATACTGAGTAAGGTAAGTTGTCACGCAAATTTAATATATCATACAACCCATGCTGAAAACATGCATTCGCCATCGATGAGTGGAGATTCAGACCTAGCAAGCTGCCCTGAGATAGGGGAATTCTGTAGAATGGGCAGTAAAGAATGGAGGTCCGGCTGACCTTTGGGAGAGGAAATGTATCAGTTTTTTTATTTTATGTTTATACAATAGTTCTCTTATTGGTCATGCAAATTTTCAATGCTATATATTCACCTTGAATTGGATGTAGCTAGCTGTGTGTGTTAATGCTGGTAAAGAAACATTCATTATTACAGAGTATTAAAACAAAACCCGAAATATCTGCTCACTTATTCTATGACATCCATAAATGATGCAATATTACATCTAACACTCATTCTCTATAGTTATGTGACTCACAGCGCCCACTAGTGACTTGTATAAAAACATAGTAGCAGTTACAAACCGTGTACAAACACCACCACGATTTATCCTGGTGTAAAACATTGCATTGCCAGCATCCCCCTCAAACAGTGAGATTACTACCCACTATATGTTTATTTATAATTAATAGCGATAATACACATTTTTCCTTTACCTTTGTTCTGTCCCTTTGAGTATAACGCTGAAGAAGTAAATACGAAAAGACAAAAATAATGCATTTCACATGAACAGTACTGAGCATTGAACATCTCAAAATACACTCAGCGCTGGTGCAAGGGTTCTTGGCTACACAGGCAAAAATCCATTTAGCGCCCCCTTTCACACTCTTCTCCCCCTGTTGTGCAGTTCTCACACAGATATCTCGTACCCTGGATGGAGCCGCACACCCACAGGACCTCCAACAGGGCCCGACTTACTGTTAATGTTCCTGATGTTTAGCATTAAAATTAACAAAACCTATTTTACAAAATTCCTTTTACAGTTACTGACTAAAAAACATGAGAAACGTCTAGGATCCAGTGAGAAAGATGCACAGGAAGTGAAGGACCATCCTTATTTTCAAGTACGTACATATGTTTTTTTGTTTTGTGTTTTTTACTGTGGTTTTGTCACTAAATATTTGTGTGATTTTAGGAAAAATAAAATCTTTGTAATATACTGAAATTCTAACACAGCCAAAAGAGAACATAAGAAAACTAGAGAATCCTATTGGGATCTAAACAAAATGTGGCTTTTTGGGCATATTAGCTGTTATCTTGTATTTTATACAGTCTTGGTTTGTACGTGATGCTCATTATTTTACAAATTCCTTTCCAGCATATAGATTGGAACGCATTATTATTACAAAATGTGACACCTCCATTTGTGCCAACCATCAACGGAGCCGAAGATGTCAGCAACTTTGATGCGATATTCACCTCGGAAGTGCCTATTATAACTCCACCAGCAAGACGAAGAGTTCCACCGTTAATGGAGAAGAAGACATTTGAGGATTTTTGTTGGAGGGCAGATTGGAGTTAATCTCGGTTGTGATCCACAATAAGAATTACTGGAGAGAGAATTAGCATTAATATATTCTACCAATGAAATCATTTATTGAAAACTAAAGTGAGAATTCAAACTGAATTTCAAATTTAGAGTTAAAAAAAAGAAAAAAGAAAAAAAGAAACATGCCCTCAATCAGCTACGATTCCAGATTGGCTACTTTGGCTTTAAATTTGCAAATCACTTTGATTTCTCATTTTTGGAAATAACCCTGCAAATTGTTGAATTGTGTATACGTGTATTATTATTGTTGTTAAAATAAAATAAAAAATTTGACATAAAAAAAAAATGTAAATTTAGACGTGAATCTATGTGTAGCGGAAGAAGGAGGAATAGTACCAGGCTTGGGACCCAGACCTATTCCATCCAGCGTTCGTCCCTTCTCCTAAGGGGAAATATAATAGAGCGTCAGCCTTTCCTTCCAGCAATACCCGATTAGTAATGTCAATGATCTTCCAGACAGAGAGCCAGCCTCTCCTTCCAGCAATACCCGATTAGTAATAACAGTGATCTTCCAGACAGAGAGCCAGCCTTTCCTTCCAACAATAACCGATTAGTAATGCCAATGATCTTCCAGACAGAGAGCCAGCCTCTCCTTCCAGCAATACCCGATTAGTAATAACAGTGATCTTCCAGACAGAGAGCCAGCCTTTCCTTCCAGCAATACCCGATTAGTAATGCCAATGATCTTCCAGATAGAGAGCCAGCCTTTCCTTACAGCAAGCCCCTGTCATATCGCCCCCAAAATGTGAGTGTCTGGGGAATGTGGGATGACAGGGGCCAATGGGAGCACATTTCATTTTTTGGCTCCCACTGCCCCTTTAAGAGCATGCCCGAGACGTGCGGCACGCTCTTAGAACTAGGCGGAACACGTGACCGCATCTCGCGGTCCATGCCCGCTGCGCGCGGCGGGAAGTGAGGACCTCGGCCGGCCCCCGGGTAAGGTAAGTACCGCTACAACTGGGAAGGGAAAGGGCTAATCACTGTTCCAGTGTGGAGGATTCAACAGGGAAAGTCCTTTTAAGCACTAGATCTTCCAGGACTAAGTGTCATCCAGTGCCTGGGGGTGGATAGAGAGTTCCCCATTCGGCTCCATGAGGGAGCGGTTCCAGGACCCCAGTCAAGTCACGGCGACTGTGGGCAGAAGTGCTGCGGTATTATAAAATAGGAAATGCACTTATATTTATTGGAGCTATATATGTGGATCTGTTAGTGTGTATGATCACCTCTCTGAGGATATGTAGGTGGTGGGGTGTCTTCTCTGTGGTACTTATAAAAATATCAATGTAGTGCACACTGTGTGATTGGGTGGGTGAGAGATGAAAATTCACTTAATAGCTCAGGAGCAAAGTATGGTTTTGCTCACTCAATAAGGTTCTGGTGGTACACCTCCCCACCTTGGAGAACGAAGTAGAAGAAATTTGTGGAGTGCCAAAGTGAGACAGGATGGTCCAGGGTAGTTAGAAAATGAGTATCTTTTAATAAATACAATAAAACAAAGAGTTAAAACACTGATAATTAAAAGTAACACAATGTGTATCGCCACTGCATAGGGCTTTGTCAAGTGTCCTTGAAATTGAAAAAGCTCTATGCTGTGGTGAAACGCGCTGTTAATTTTGATTATAAGTGTTTTAAATGGAAAGACCCCCGATAGGCAGTACAATTACTAGCCTAATATACAATGATATAACAGTGGATGATGAATAGTCCTTTTAAGAATACATTTTCTTCCCCAGATCTTAAGAAACTGTTCAAGCAGTCTGGCCAGGATATAAATGGAAATTTATCATACCAAAACCTCAAGGACACACTTGGGCCTGGCATACCACAGTCTTTAAAGGAATTTGATACCGATGGAGATGACAGATATTCCTTCACTGAACTGAAAGATGCTTTAGGTTTTTAATTGCTGCTCCCGATACAAAGAATGGAGAAATCACTGAATTGAAACTATTCATACACATGTCCCATTGACCTCAGGGCCAGATTAAGAGCCTAGTGGGCCTGGTTCTGACCATTATGATGGGGCCTAATTACAGAATTTTATCGACCAAAAACACTAAAACAGTCATACCTCTAAAGAGTCATGTATCTGATGGAGTTGGTGTTGGAGGGAAACTCAAAAGATGCAGCTATAAGAAAACACATACTCTATGCTAATCTCTTTATCTAATTAATGCTTTCATCTTTCAAGTAAATCCATACCCCATAACAGCAGTGTCCATGGGCGGGGTAAAAGGGTGTGCCACTGACGCGAATCACGTGACCAGAACTGCCAAAAGGGGCGAACATGCCCAAAAAGGGGGCATGTCTGTCCAAAGAATTGGAAGGCCAGTCTGGCATCAGTGTCCCTATGTATCACAATGTCAATGTCCCCATGTCGCCCAGTCCCCTAGTCTCCCAGTGTCTGTGTCCCCATTTCTCCCAGTGTCCCCATGTCTCAGTGTGTCCTGTGTCACTAGGATACTAGGGGACATTGAGAGACATGGGGACACTGAGAGATCCGGGGACACTGGGAGACGTGGGGGCACTCGGAGACGTGGGTGCACTTGTGAATACAGACATGGGGACACTGGGAGACACGAGGACACAGACATTTGGGGACACTGGGAGAAATGAGGAGACAGACACTAGGGACACAGACATGGAGACACAGACACTAGGAGACAGGAGGACACAGATACTAGGGACACTGGCTGGGAGGCATGGGGACACAGACACTTGGGGAGACTGGGAGACATGGGACACAAAGGACACAGAGACATGGGGACACAGACACTGGGAGACATGGGGACACTGAGACACTAGGGACACTGGCTGGGAGACATAGGGACATTGGGAGACATGGGGACTCTGAGACACTAGCTGGGAGTCATGGGGACACTAAGAGACATAGGGACACTAAGAGACATGGGGACATAGATACTAGGGACACTGGCTGGGAGGCATGGGGACACGGACACTTGGGGACACAGACACTTGGGGACACTGGGAGGCATGGGGACACTGAAACATTTGTGGACACTGGGAGACATGGGGACACTAAGGACATAGAGACATGGGGACACAGACACTGGGAGACATGGGGACACTGAGACACTAGGGACAATGGTTGGGAAACATAGGGACACTGGCTGGGAGTCAAGGGGACACTGGGAGACATGGGGACATTGAGAGACATGGGGACACAGAGATATGTGGACACAGATACTGGGAGACCAGTGGCGTCGCTAGGGGGGGGCCAGAGGGGGCCATGGCCCCCCCTACATCATGCTGTGCCTCCCCTTGGGCCCCCCCAAATGCTGGCAACTAGCTGGCCATCTGCTTCCCTCGGACTGTTACAGCCTGTGACAGCCCGAGGGAATGCAGTGCTGAGGTGCTGGAGGCTGTCTGTGGCCGAAGGGAGCACTGATTGGCTCCCCGGCACAGACTCCGCCCCCAAACGAAGCCCCGCCTCCCGCCGATAAGCCCCGCCCCCGCCGTTATGCAGCCGCCCATGCTGCTGCTGAAGATGGCTGCCTGACCCCCACAGGTGACAGGTAGGCTGGGGGGGTGTACACACACATTGCCCCCATACACACACACTGCCCCCATACAGCCTCCCATACACACACACTGTCCCCCATACTGCCCCCCTATAGACACACATTGCCCCCCATACTGCCCCCCATACACACACACTGCCCCCCATACACACACACTGCCCCCCATACACACACATTGCCCCACACACTGCCCCCCATGCACACACTCTGCCCCCCCATACACATACACTCTACACACATACACTATCCCCATACACACACACTGTATGGACTCAGCAGTCTGTGTGTGTGTATGGACTGAGCAGTCTGTGTGTGTGTGTGTGTGTGTGTGTGTATGGACTCAGCAGTGTGTGTGTATGGACTCAGCAGTCTGTGTGTGTGTGTGTGTGTGTATGGACTCAGCAGTTTGTGTGTGTATGGACTCAGCAGTCTGTGTGTGTGTGTGTGTGTATGGACTCGGCAGTCTGTGTGTGTATGGACTCGGCAGTCTGTGTGTGTATGGACTCAGCAGTCTGTGTGTGTATGGACTCGGCAGTCTGTGTGTGCATGGACTCAGCAGTCTGTGTGTGTGTGTATATGTGTGTATGGACTCAGCAGTCTGTGTGTGTGTGTGTATAGACTCAGCAGTCTGTGTGTGTGTGTATGGACTCAGCAGAGTCTGTGTGTGTGTACGGACTCAGCAGAGTCTGTGTGTGTGTACAGACTCAGCAGAGTCTGTGTGTGTGTGTACGGACTCAGCAGAGTCTGTGTGTGTGTATACGGACTCAGCAGAGTCTGTGTGTATGTGTACGGACTCAGCAGAGTCTGTGTGTGTGTATGGACTCAGCAGTCTGTGTGTGTGTGTGTGTGTATGGACTCAGCAGTCTGTGTGTGTATGAACTCAGCAATATGTGTGTGTATGGACTCAGCAGTCTGTGTGTGTATGCACTCAGCAGTCTGTGTGTGTGGACTCAGCAGAGTGTGTGTGTTTGTGTACTCAGCAGTCTTTGTGTGTTTGTGTACTCAGCAGTCTTTGTGTGTGTGTGTGGACTCAGCAGTCTGTGTGTGTATGGACTCAGAAGTCTGTGTGTGTGTATGGACTCAGCAGTCTGTGTGTGTGTATGGACTCAGCAGAGTCTGTGTGTTTGTGTGTGTATGGACTTAGCAGTCTGTGTGTGTGTATGGACTCAGCAGAGTGTGTGTGTTTGTGTGTATGGACTCAGCAGAGTGTGTGTGTGTGTATGGACTCAGCAGTCTGTGTGTGTACGGACTCAGCAGAGTCTGTGTTTGTGTATGGACTCAGCAGAGTCTGTGTGTGTGTATGGACTCAGCAGAGTGTGTGTGTATGGACTCAGCAGAGTGTGTGTGTGTGTGTGTATGGACTCAGCAGTATGTGTGTGTGTATGGACTCAGCAGTCTGTGTGTGTGTATGGACTCAGCAGTCTGTGTGTGTACGGACTCAGCAGTCTGTGTGTACGGACTCAGCAGTCTGTGTGTACGGACTCAGCAGAGTCGCTGTGTGTGTATGGACTCAGCAGTCTGTTTGTGTATGGACTCAGCAGAGTGTGTGTGTGTGTGTATGGACTCAGCAGAGTCTGTGTGTGTGTATGGACTCAGCAGTCTGTGTGTGTGTGTATGGACTCGGCAATCTGTGTGTGTGTGTGTGTGTGTATGGACTCATCAATCTGTGTGTGTGTCTGTGTGTATGGACTCAGCAATCTGTGTGTGTGTGTGTGTGTGTATGGACTCAGCAGTCTGTGTGTGTGTATGGACTCCGCAGTCTGTGTGTGTGTATGGACTCCGCAGTCTGTGTGTGTGTATGGACTCCGCAGTCTGTGTGTGTGTATGGACTCCGCAGTCTATCAATAATTAAAATTCCTGTGAGTTGTTGTGTAGGAAGGGCCCCAGTGTATTGCTTTGCCCAGGGGCCCTTAACTCTGTTAAAATGGTACTGCTTGTGTGTGTCAGTGAGCTTCTATTTAGTGAGCATGTGTGTGTCAGTGAGCTTCTATTTAGTGAGCATGTGTGTGTCAGTGAGCTTGTCTTTAGTGAGCTTGTGTGTGTGTCCCTGAACTTCTTTGTAGTGAGCCTTCTGTTCATACAAGTGAGTGTCTGTAGTAAGCTTGTGTGTGAGTCAGAGAGTTTTGTCTGTCAGTAAGCCTATTTGCGCATGTCAGTGAGCTAGTGTGCTTACTGTACTATATATATATATATATATATATATATATATATATATATATATATATATATATATATATATATATATATATATATATATATATTTTGACTTGTAGGAATGGCATACTTTTTTTTCCAGGGCTGCTTTGGATTCCCAGGGATTCCCAGTTTGGCTCTGCCAGCGAGTGCACTTTACCGCTGAATAATCTGTGTGAGCTGCCGCATACTTTAGCCCTGTTACACGCATCTGGGAGCTGCTGTTGACAGGTACTAGTAGTCTAGAGATTGGGGTATATGCTCAGCTATCTGTATAATACAGATCTGTGTGTATAAAATATCCCGGGATAGTCAGTGCTTCCTGTATAGTGCTGCTCTCTGTCTTGGGATTATACAGAGAGTAGCACTATACAGGGAGCACTGAGTGTCCCAATTTATTATACACACAACCCTGTATTATACAGAGAGCACTGACTGTCCAGGGATATTATACCCAGACAGTAATTGATAGCTGTGCTGCAAAATGTCCTTGGAAAAAATTTTTCAAATGTTGGCAACTATGGCACTGTATCAAGGATAATGTGTTTGTTTTTTTAATAATCCCTGGTGGAAAATCATGATTCCTCCACCAGGTATTATTAAAAAAACAAAACACATTGTGTCGGGGGCGTGGCTTAACATGTGACAGGGGCGGGGTCAAACTGCGGCGAGGGCGGGGTTAAATGTGCCGCCCTACTTTTGTCACTGGCCCTCCATGTGCCCCCCCGAAAAATGAATCCTAGAGACGCCACTGTGGGAGACTAGGGGATACTGGGAGCCATGGTGATAGACATTTGGGGAATCTAAGACACTAGGCACACTGAGAGACATAGGGACACAGACACTAGGGACACTGGCTGGGAGGCATGGGGACACAGACACTTGGGGACACTGGGAGACATGGGGCACTTGTGGACATATACATGGTGACACTGGGAGACATGGGGACACTGAGACATTTGGGGACACTGGGAGACATGGAGACACGAAGGACATAGAGACATGGGGACACAGACACTGGGAGACATGGGGACACTGAGACACTAGGGACACTGGCTGGGAGACATAGGGACACTGGAATACATGGGGACACTGAGACACTGGCTGGGAGCCATGGGGACACTGGGAGACATGGGGACACTGAAAGACATGGGGATACAGAGACATGGTGACACAGATACTTGGACACCAGGGGACACCCGGAGTCATGGGGACACTGAGACACTAGGAACACTGGCTGGGAGACATGGGGACACTGTGTCCCTAGTGTCTCCGTGTCCCAATGTGTCTCCCTATGTCTCACAGCGTCACCATGTGTCTGTGTCCCCATGTGTCTGTGTCCCCATGTGTCTCAGTGTCCCCATGTCTCCCAGTGTCCCCACATCTCCCAGTGTCCCCTAGTGTCTCAGTGTCCCCTAATATCTCCCTGCTGCCTTTCCCCCCATCCTTCACATACCCGAGCTGTAGTCTGTCTCTGCAGGCTGGAAGCTGTTGTCTGGATTCTCTGTGTTGTGTAGCTGCTCCCCCGCGGATCAGTGAGTAGAGAGAGGCAGGGAGATGCTGTAACTTCCTATCCCTGCCTCTCTCCTTACACAGTGACCCCTACTGGCCGGTGCTGGTATTGCAGAGTAATCTCCGTTTATAAGGAGAAAAATACACGGCCAGGCAGCCTCCAATACCAGCTGTGCCTTAACCCCTTAAGGACTGGACTGTTTTTGCGATGTTGTACATTTGCGACCAGGAATATTTTTACACTTTTCTGGTGTTTGTGTTTGGCTGTAATTTTCCGCTCTCTCGTTTACTGTTCCCATACAAATTATATATTGTTTTTTTCAGGACAAAAGGGGCTTTCTTTACATACCATTATTTATATAATCTCATGTATTTTAATTTAAAAAAAATAAAAAAATCTGATGAAAAATTTAAAAAAATACATGTTTTTTGACTTTTACTTGAAAAATCTTTTACTCATCTACAAAAGCGAATGAAAAAACTGCTAAATAGATTCAAAATTTTGTCCTGAGTTTAAAAATACCCAGTGTTTACGTGCTTTTTTGCTTTTTTTTGCATGTTATAGGGCTATAGGTACAAGTAGGATATTGCGGTTTCAAAACATGCATTTTTAAAATTTATCAATAGTGACATTGTAACACTATTATCTGTCATAAATCTCTGAATAACACCCCACATGTACATATTTTTTTTAAAGTAGACAACCCAGGGTATTCAATATGGGGTATGTCCAGTCTTTTTTAGTAGCCACTTAGTCGAAAACACTGGCCAATGTAAGCATTCATATTTGTTTGTGTGTGAAAAAAGTAAAAAAACTAAATTGAACGCTAAATTTTGGCCAGTGTTTGTGACCAAGTGGCTACTAAAAAAGACTGGACATACCCCATTTGCAATACCTTGGGTTGTCTTCTTTTGCAAATGGTATGCCATCATGGGGGTAATTCTCATTCCTGGGCTACCATACGCTCTCAAAGGCAACATAACCAACCTGGCCATTTTCAATGTAAAAATATTTGACCCATGTATTTGACCTTGTAACTTTAAAAAATGCTATAAAACCTGTACATGGGGGGTACTGTTTTACTCGGGAGACATCGCTGAACACATATATTAGTGTTTAAAAACTGGAAAACGTATCACAACAATTATATCATCAGTAAAAGTGCTGTTTGTGTGTGAAAAATGCAAAAAAAGTAACTTTCACTGACAATATCATCACTGTGATATGTTTTACTGTTTTGAATCACTAATATTTGTGTTCAGCGAAGTCTCCCGAGTAAAACAGTACCCCCCATGTACAGGTTTTAGGGTGTCGTAGAACGTTACAGGGTAAAATACAGTGCTAGCAAATTAAATTCTCTGGAATTTCGGCCTGGGTTGGCAGGCAGGTCCCTCAAATTGCAATCAATAAAATTACTGAATTATTTAAAAATATTACATAAATACGCACGTAGAATTTAAATATATATGCATATTTATATATTTGAAGTCTACGTGTATATTTATATAATTATTTATGTAATTTTGTATATGGACGTATGTATATTTCTTATTATTTTTATTTATTTTTATATACATAGATATATATACAAATTCATTCTAAGTGTATTTTGATATAAATATATATATATTAATTTTAAAATACAGTTAGAATAAAATTTCATATAGCTATATAATTTTTTTAAATTTTTTTATTATTATTTTAAAAAAAATTTATTTAATTTAAATTACTTATTATTTATATTTTATAATAATATATATATACAATCTATATAGTTATTATATATATTATATATATACGTGTGTAATTTAATTATAAGTGTATTTTTATATTAATATAAGTACATATTAATATAAAATACACTTAGTATGGCATTATATATATGATATATAGACATATATTATATACCGTATTTTTCGCTCCATAAGACGCACTTTTTTTCCCCTCAAAAGTGAGGGGAAATGTCTGTGCGTCTTATGGAGCGAATGTGAAGAATTACTTACCTGTCTTGGAGCGTGGGCCGGCTTCACAGCGCGCTCCGCGGTCCAGGAACTTCTATTTCAGGTTCCGGTGGGACTGAAAGGAAGTGTGCACACTGAGTGTGCACACTTCCTTTCAGCCCCGCCGGAAACCGGAACCTGAAATATTAGTTCCTGGACCGCGGAGCGCGCTGTGAAGCCGGCCCACGCTCCAAGACAGGTAAGTAATTATGGGACAAGGGGAGGGGGAGACACTATGGGACAAGGGGAGGGGAGGAGACACTATGGGACAAAGGGAGGGGGACACTATGGGAGAAAGGGAGGGGAGACACTATGGGACAAGGGGAGGGGGAGACACTATGGGACAAGGGGAGGGGGAGACACCATGGGACAAGGGGAGGGGGAGACACCATGGGACAAGGGGAGGGGGAGACACCATGGGACAAGGG